GTGGAGGTTTTCTGGCCTCAGGATTCCATCTCTGCTCTTTGCAGATGATGTGATCCTGTTAGTGTCATTGTGCCGTGATCTTCAGCTCTCACTGGAGTGGATTGCAGCCGAGTGTGAAGCAGCTGAGATGAGAATTAGCACCTCCAAATCTGAGGCCATGGTCCTGAATAGGAAAAGGTGGATTGCTCTCTTCAAGTCAAGGTCGAGGTTCTGCCTCAAGTGGAGGAGTGCAAGTATCTCGGGGGTTTGTTCACAAATGAGGGAAGAATGGAACGTGAGCTCGACAGACATATTGGTGCAGCGTCTGCAGTATTGCGGACTCTGTACCAACCTGTTGTGGTGAAGGGAAAGCTGAGCTGTTAGGCAAAGCTCTCTGTTTACCGGTCGGTCTACGGTCCTACCCTCAGCTATGGTCACAAGCTCTGGGTAGCGACAGAAAGAATGAGACTGTGGATACAGGTGGTTGAAATGAGTCTCTTTTGCAGGGTAGCTGGACTCTCCCTTAGAGATAGGGTGAGAAGTTCGCTTACCCAGGAGAGACTCAGAGTAGAACTACTGCTCCTTGACATTGAGATGAGCCAGTTGAGGTGGTTCAAGCATCTGGTAAGGATGCTCCCTGGGCATCTCCCTATGGAGGTGCTTCGGGCATGCCCAACTGGGAAGAGACCCTAGGGAAGACTCAGGACATGCTGGAGAGACTATGTCTCTCAGTTGACCTGGGAATGTCTTGGGGTCCCTCCAGAAGAGCTAGTAGAGGTGGCTCTGGAAAGAGATGTCTGAGCTTCCCTGCTCAAGCTGTTGCCCCCATAACCCGACTTCGGAAAAAGTGGAAGATAATGGATGGATGGATGGATGAAGGACATAAATCCGCACAAGGGAGAATTGATGTTTCTGACACCATCTAAAATGTCAGGAATAAAGGGTCACCAAGAGGCTCCACTTGGTGAACAGTGACAGTGACCTTCTGTTTGTAAAGTGGACAGACACAAGAGAGGTCTCTTTCTGTATGAACATATATTCTGTGCACAGTTGTGCTTTGCAGGCAGAAGACAGAAGATAGAAACAATCATGTTTTCTTTTCCCCAGACCAACAGCTGAGGTGGTGTACTATAAGTACATGGACGTAGTGGATACATTTGACCAGATGATAAGAACCAACTCCACCCATAGAAAAATCTAAAGGTGACTTGTCACAGTTTTCCAGCAATTCCTAACACTGCTGTCACAAACCCTTTCCATCCTTTACAAGGAGCCTACATATCAGCCAGCAGTAGGACCCATTCAGAAGAGACAGGAGATGGCAAAGAGCATGTGCACTGTGTGCAAGAGGAGCACTCCATGGTAGTGCAAGGCATGTGGTGTGGAGCTCTCTTTACAGCTGGAAAGGAACTGCTTTAGAAACTACCACAGCTGATATATGCCTGGAAGTTACTTTATAAAAGTAGACAACAAACAAAAAGCCAGGACTGACAGTTTTTGTATTCATGTACAGTATATAGTTCAAATTTTAAACTTTATATTTGAAATTGTTTGCTTATGTCATTTCAGAATTTTTCTTTTTGTTATAAAGTAAAAAAAAAATCTAATTTGATTTTGTTTTTCTTTTAAGCTGTTACTGCGCAGTCAAAAACACAGTAAAACGATCAAAAATGTTGGATGTGGAAATTGTCGGGAATAAGAGACAAAAGCACTCTTTTTTTATTTTACTGTTTTTTATTGAAAATAGTTTTGTTTAACAATAGTAATTATAAGGCTTCATAGTCAACTGCTTTGTGAGCATCAAAATATTGAAAGTAATCATAAAAATAACAAGATATTCATTTACTATTTGGAGACTTTAGAGACTAGATACTTCCTAGGCTTGACTCAACTTGAGCTGACAGTCATTACCTTTGGTTCAGAAACTGGAAAATATTTAAAACTGGTTGGGCTCATGAGCCACCCACACACCCATGTACAATATATAATTGTCCAACTTTTTGGGGCTAGATTTATGCCTTGTAACAAGCCTTAGACAATGCATAGGGGGTGTGATGGTTTGTGAAAAGTTCAGTCATGTTACAATAGCAGTCAATATGTTTGCTAGATTTCTAGATAGATGATAAGCTTTGTGGGTACTTTGCAATGATGTATGACAAAAAGTGGCCATGTGTGGAATTATTGTTGATTGAATCAAATGTTCTCTTCACATATGATCCTCAACTCCAGGTAGATGTAGCATCTCACAGAGCTGTAACTGTTAGGGATGAGTTGGATACACAAAATTGCAAGAAAATGGACAAACTTTCACTTGAAATTACACTGAATGATATATTTGTACGAACTCCCATCAAAACGTTAGCCAAAATTTGCCAGTTCACATATAACAGACGTGACATGTAGCAAAGGGTACAGGTCTAAAGTACAGAGCTCTAAAATGGATGGAGACCAACATGTTTTCTTGGTGAGCTTTTGGAGACAGAAGTGACCTCAAAGGGAATGTTTACACCGGAGTCAATTTTATACCATTAGTGCTTAGTGTATTCTTAGTGTATTGAATGTAGTATATTCTTAGTTCATGACTCGGATCTTATTAATGTTTTTCTTTATAATTTGTGTTTTTGTTGGATGTAACTGGGACCCTATGTTCATAGTTTCGTCCCACTTCATATATCACGTGTGGTGTGTATGACAAATAAATTTCTCTGAGTCTGACTCTGATTACATAAAAATTGAAAATTTCTGGCAAATTATAACATTTGATATCAAGATATTCCTTGATTCTTTGCTTTGGTTTGCATTGTTAGCAAAGGTAAGATGCTGACTTGTCAACCTGGGCATAGCGTTATTTCTTCTACAAATTAGACGTGTGCAGACAGAAATGAAACCATTTAAGTTTGGTTAAAAATATATAGTAAGTACATTTTTGACACCTTCTCTGTGACATGTGGGAAAATTGTATACCCATCACCATTCATCTCACTGTACAAGTACAAGAAGGATGTGATTGCTTTTGGCTCTCTTATGGCCAGAAGACTTGTGCAACTGGAAGGACCCACACCCCCCAGCATTTGAACACTGGATTAGAGAAGGGATGTATCATATCCGTAAAAAAAAAAAAAGATATACCCTGAAGAGTTCTGTTAAAAGATTTTGGGACACTTGGCAGCCTTTTATGTTGCATGTGGAAAACTTGTCAACGCCTGTTTATTATTATTATGCGTGTGTGTGTGTGACTGATCCAGTGTGGGTGGAGAGGGATGGGAGGGTTATTTGTTCTTTGTGTTCTCCTTTTTGTTTGTATGTTTAAAAATCAAAAATCAATCAAAAGACTGGAAGAAAAAAAAAAGATAGTGCGCCCTCCAAACATTTTTTTTCAACAAATGTGCTCACATAGAGGATGAATAAATGCACATTTGGTGATATCATTAGTTGTACACAAAATGTCATCAGGAAAAAAAAGCCTCATTTATGCCAATATTTTTATAAACACTTTTTCTGATGTGTTTGCACCGCCTGTCTACACAGAATATGTGCTCATAAAACATCCATCCATCCATTATCTTTACCCACTTCTTCCTTTTTGGGTCGCCAGTGCCCATGCCTTGCCAACACCGTGCGAGAGGTGGGGACACCCTGGACAGGTCTCCAGTCCATCACAGGGACACATGGAGACAAACGAGGCAAACAACCACTGACTGACTCACTCACACCTAGAGACAATTTAGAGTTACCAATCAGTCTGACATGCATGTTTTTGATCAGTGGGAGGAAACTGGAGTATCAGGAGAAAACCCACGCATGCACAGAGAGAACATGCAAACTTCATCCAGAAAGACCCCCAGATCAGGATTTGAACCGGGGTAACCTGCTCGCTCAGAGGCAGCAGCTCAACCAACTGCTCCACCGTGCTGCCGGCTCAGAAAACAGGCATTCAAAAATAAATAAGGCTTTCAAACTGTCTTTAGATACTTTGTTTCTGATTGATCTTTGAAAGACTCGGGATACAAATGTTTTCAGAAACAATGACAATGATTGTTTAACATACAATCCCTATAACACTTTGTGTCTTTGCAACCCAAATATGTTATCTATTTATTTACTTTTTTATTTATACGTTTATCTCATTTTGATCATAAACTTTGATCATGTACAGATAACTTAGAGTAAATAATATAATTGGTATATTCAGTGACGATTAAATACTAATTTTTATTAGTTTGATATGTTAATGTGTACGTTTTCCGCACCTAGTGGCGATAAACGTAATTTATTCTTTTGTAGGTTACAAGGATCCCTGGTGAGACCACCAACCTTTAAGTTACAATATTCACTAAATATACTCTCAACCCTACGAGCAGCCGAGGGAGCCCTATTGAATGCTTGGACCCTCAGGGGGCGTGGCCAAATTATGCCATGCGTAATTACGTCATCATTCCAGTGATGCATTCAGCTATGGCTCCACAAAGTTTTCCACTTTTGACACACAAAAGCTTGTGACCCCAAATATTTTCATTCCAACTATAAAATCATTTTTATTAACTTGTTAACCACGAGCGTAATGACATCACGGACAACTTTTAACTATTTTACTGTTTTGATTTATGTATGCATGCTGTGTTTATTATTTGTAATAATTAAAACATAAATACATATATGGCGTTAGTAATCATTTGTACATTGAATTTGATTTCTGGAGATTATCTGAGAATCCCCAGTTAGTGTTTCAATCCCATTCCCATCCCAGTGTTGGGAACCACTGCTCTGTAGGACACGGAGAAGTGAAGAAGTGTCAGTGACAGTTATGCACACGATGTAACGCTGAAAAATCTTCATGAAAACAAAATAGTCCAGGTTTGTCACACCATGTTTGAGTCGTAGTGGTTCCTCACGAGTCCTCCCCCACATGCGCACACCCTCTCGTTGTCTCACCCGTACCCCCCTCCAGCTGTCTCCCTCGCTGTCTCTCAGTCACCGCCTCCCCTATGGCAGACTGTCTGACTGCTGATTGGTGCTTCCAGGTGATCTCAGACCTGTTTCCATGCCTCCTGAATATAACTGGATGGCCGAGGTCAAGGAACCCAGCATGGGCAAAAGAGGGAGCCGAGGTACACACACCAACAACACACACACACAAACACACATAGGGGAAAGTACACTCAAACTGTTGCCATGCTTCACTCCATACCCAGCTCAACATCTCAGCTCATCCTCTGGTTATTCATGGTGGTGTGAGTGTGTAGAGATGCAGGTCCTGCCAGGCATGTATCTGATAGAACCATAAATGCTAAATAATTGCATTTGTACACCTGAGCTGGAAACAACGTGACAGACTCAAACCGGTGAGACTTGATTTATTTTCAAGCGAAGATCCTTCGCTCTACCTCAATAAAGTCTATGAATAATAATAAAGCACAGTGCTAATGTATGAAGGGCTGCCAGTGTTTTTCTTTCTCTTTGTCACACTTTTCTTTATATTTGAATGTATGAATATTGGAGCTGTTGAAAAATGTTAACTGCAGCAAAGTAAGTTTCTGTTTTGGACATGGTGAACCACAAGTGCCCTCTTAATCAACGTAATCACAGCAAACAGATTATAACTATTGTATATGTCGCCAGGTTTAATTTTTATCAGAACTTCATGCTCTGAGGCTCCTTTATACTTTTTTTTATTAATCTGTAAGTGTTCATTGTTTCTCTGAACGTCTCCCTTGACTTTAAGATGCTATCGCCTTTCTCTGAGGGTTTTTCTTTTTTGTTATTCGTTTTACTGATCCTTTCCATCCTCTTATGTCCACGCACCCCTACCCCTTTGTCTCCTCCTGTCCTACAGACTCAGACAACTCCCTGCTCCGTTACATTAGCGACGACAAGATTCTGGTGATCGAGGAGGAGCCGGAGGGTTTAAGCAGAGAAAGCCGGCGAGATTCATCCAGACGATCTCGACGCAAGAGCCGCAATCCCAGCAGCCCTAGCTTTCCCATAAGCCCTTCCATGCTGTCGTCCACCCTGCGTCTTGACCAGCCACCAGAACCTCTGCCCGTATGTACACACACTTAAAATTCATTGCTTTTTAACGTAACTCTTCATATTGAAATTATTTTCAAAAGACGGAACAAATGTTTAACTGTGTACCAAAAACATATCTAATATATCATTCTAATATCATCATAGGTATTTTGTAAAAATGTGTACTATCACGAGTGGGTGACACTCAGACGTATCCAACAATAGACAACTGAACCCTTTTTTTATGGAAGCTGCCATTTTGTACTTTTAGACTAAACTCTGTGCACTATGGAGCTGTAAGTCTTGAAAAAAAATATCCCAAGTCTTTGTTTTATTTGTTTATTCTTTCATTATACCAACAACAATGTCTTGTACACGGAGAGGGCACGTCTAATAACTTGTACTGGAACCATCTGAAAGGACAGATTGAGCTTGTTCCAGCTTTAACTTCTGGATTTATGTCACAGCAATCTCATACAGTCTGTACTAGTGACACTTTATTGTTTGATAGACTGTAGCTCATAGATCTGGACAAGAGCAAAGACTAATCCCTGGATGGTTTTGTTCATTGTAGTCTAGCATTGCAATCTTGAATTCTACAAGTTGTTCATCATTCATGTATGTACAGCACCATTTGACTTTAAAAAGTGGTTTTGTTTGTGAAAATAAACATCTAAAATTCAACTTTTCCAAAGAGAGTACATACTGTACATACATGCAAACTCCTACAGTATCAAACTCTACCATAAACAGCCTTCTCCCAGGAAACGGCAGAGAGGTTGTTCATTAATATTTTGACTACATTCATCTGCTCCTCTTCATCATCAGACTGGTGATGTTTCTTTATATGGCACTTTATGAAAGGTCATTATTAAATGCACATTATTTACTTTTCTTATTGTGGCTGCTTATTGTAGGAACACACTGATGTGGAGACACTGCAGGAAAAAATCATGTTCAAAACACAAAATAGTCAAAATGCTAAAATGATTAGAAACTTTTGTCTAATTACTGTATTTTTTGCCATACATGCCGCACCGCCCTATAAGTTGTATCAGTACAAATATGTCGAATAAAGTGGAAAAATCCATAAATATGTTGTTTCGCCGTCTTTGTCGCATCTATTACGCGTCACCACTGACAATCCAGAAATGTGGGCCAATCCTGGAAATGTGGGCTGGTGTTGTGACAAAAATTGATGAGCTGACGAATGGCGGATGTGTGGGGGGGGGGGGGTTGTACGGGAAGACTTTAATAAGAATTCAACACTTAAAATCAGTTATTTATTTGCTCAAAATTATAGTAAAGGTGTGTCTCAGTCGCGGAAGCGGGCACACACAGAGGGACGAGCCGCTGTTCATTTCTTTGAAATTTAACAAGATAAGCACCTAAAACATTTATTTGTTGACTTGAAATTATAGTAAAGGTGTGTCTCAGTCTAACTTTTGCTTAATAAATGCACTTTGACGGTCAAATCAGCTGAATTTTCAAAACCTGATAAGCGGAAATATGAACATGCAGAGGGCGGCTCGGTCCATTTCTTCGACATTTAACAAACTAACCACCTAAAAACAATTATTTTTTAGCTCAACTTCATAGTAAAGGTGTGTCTCAGTTGAACTTTTACTTTATAAATGCACGTTGACAGTCAAATCAGCTGCATTTCTCCGGGGCGGCGCAGCGAAATGAAGTTGATTTGACGGTTGCTGCAGGCAGACAACGGTGGCAGGCTATGGCAATCCGATTGTGTCATTAATAGACACTTTTACCTATTACATGATACAACGGCATGCCATACTACTCGAGTGCCATCTAGTGGCTGAAAATGGTAATGTTCAATTATTTCAGTCAGAATGAATGAAAACAGTCATATCTCAGCCAAATATTGGTTTATAAATATGGGGAAAAATCCATAAATACATCGTTACGGACTATAAGTCGCAGGACATATAAATTATGCAAAAAAAACATGATTTATACTGCAAAAAATATGGTATGTATATATATATGTATATATAATTACATTTCTGTTGTAAAGATATGTTCAGTTTAGACAATTTTTTAATAGACCAGCTTGAGGCTCCAAGACAGGTCATGCTGTTTAAAGTTTGACACACAATGCTGCCTGATGTGTGTGTGTGTGTGGGGGGGGGGGGGGGTATAGGTTAGGTAGAGGAGACAGAGGACAGTGAGAATGATAAGTGTTACTGCACGGCTGCCAGCATGGCGAATGAAGAGAAGGACATTGACATTGAGGTCCTTTGTAGCGTTTATCTTTTCTCACACGCACAAACACCTTAGCCCCCATCCCCTCCACCCTCCGGCATACATACACGACAGACACACACAGAAGTGCATTTGTATGCAGGGTAGACATCTCACAGCTCTTCCTAACTCATCCTAATACCCTCATCTCCTCTGCCATGCCTGAGTCTAAATAAGAGTTTATCCTGAACAAACACTCTCATCTCAACACACACACGCATACAAAAGCTTGTATCCCAATGAGTAGGTGTATGACTCAGCATCAGCTAGACCAATTACAAGCGCGACTGACACGCTGTGTTTTAAACGTGCACACACTGCCTTACACACACATACAGGGCGCTAACAGCTTAGCTCTCACTAGCCCTCTTCAAACCTTCTCAGCTGCGTGTTTCTCATGACGATGACTCATTTCTGTTCGCCAGCTCATGATGAGGTCTTCTCGTCTCCTCTAACGATCTATGTATTCCTTAACAAGCTGCAGATTTCCTGTTTTGTTTTCTTTAAATGATGATATTTCGTCAATAAGTGCAAAAAGACGTTCGACAACTGTATGCCAAAAAAGATTTAAAAGATTTCTTGACCTACAGACATTACGCCCAGCGTTTCTTGAAGGAATGCTTATCACCATGTGCCTTTCATACCAGTTTTAGACCGAGATCTTGTCATGACAAGAATGGCAGCGTTCTTGCTGTTTTGGTCAAGAATCTCAGCTACAACCAGATCATACTGCAGCTCATTATCTGTAAAACTGACCAAGTGAAAGCCAGTTTTGTATTTGCTAATGCAAACTACTGTACCTGTGGCAGTCTCTTCAGTTGAACTGAATCCAAGAGTTAGTCAGGTGTAGATGTACATCCAGTGATTACTATGGGCAGAAACTTGTGCCATCAGAAACTGAATTTGAATTTGCTCTTTTGAAACATCACATCAGTTTCTGATGGTTTCTGATGATTCTAACCCAACAGAAGTCATCTCAGGGCACTGTACAGAAACATTCACAAACATAAAGTCAGTTAATGACGTTATTTATCCAAGGAGCCCTCAGACTGCTTTGAGTCTTCACTTTGCCGCAGTCAGTCTTCGTCTTCTCCTCCAAAACAGTCTTCTGATTTCTGCCCATAGATTACGTTCTGAAAGTTTCATTGAAATCCGTCCAGTGGTTCATGAGTTTTTGGCTAACTTGTGAACAAGGTTTGCTGAAACACTAAGAACCAAATTTATGGGGCCAAATCGGGAGGCTGAGATGGGGTAGAGGTAGAGCAGCTGACCTGAGAGCAAAATATCACGGTTCGACTCCCTGCCATTCCCACATGTCGTGGTGTCCTTGAGCAAGATACCCAATCCCTAATTACTCCCCGAGCAGCTTACATCGCTGCCCACTCTCCACCTGGGTGCATCTGAGGTGTGACGGGTTAAATGCAGAGAACTCATGTCATCATTGTATAGAAACATACAATGATGACAACACATTGCACTTACTTACTTACTAAAACAAAGATCTTGTGAAATATGCTAGCAGTCAGTAGGCCTCTTTATGCTGGGAATTGATCTCAGCTAGTACCACTCCAAATTTAGACCAATAGCTGTTAAATTTACAATTTTTGTGTTTTGTTTTGTGTGTGTGTGTTTTTAAGGCAGTGGTGGCCATCTTGAATTGGGTTGACTAATTTTCATAGTGTTTTGATACCCTACGATTTTCTTTTCCCCAGAATTGTATTTCTCTGGCAAAAGCATTACGTGTGTAAAATTTTCTGAAAGATTAGCTGATAATGATCCCCTGGACACGCTGACTGACTGAGCCTCCTCACTTTCTAATCAGAAACGATCCCAGTCCTTTACCCCGCTCCCTTAAGAGTTCAGTCTTGTTCAGAGAGTTTCATCTGTTTGTATGAAAAGGCTATTTTTAAGTCCTTAGTTGGAGGGAGGGGGTGGGGGAGAGTTTCCATAATGCAAATGTTTAAAAACAGCACAAACAAATTCAGTGGACTCTTCTGAGAGGATTATTTTAAGGGTTTAACAAATGATTAAATTTGTGGTGGTAGAGAATAATTCTTGTAGCACCAGGGCTACTTAAATTATAGTCATCAGGAAATCAAGCCTGTAATCAGCCAAAATCAGACTGCTTGTAATGGAGCCGTTTCTGTTTTCGGCTACTACTGAGTGCAGTGTAAAATGTACATAAACACAGAATAAAAATATTTTTTTCTCCTAATTTATGCTCATTTTGAATATTATGTAGCATGTTTTAAACAAGTTCAGACTGGGGAATGTTTGTTGTTGTCTTACATAACCTACTTCTTTTTCTTTTTTTCAAAACTTATTACACATTTAGGAATGCTTGCTGTAGTTAAGAAAGTGAATTGCTTTTCTTTTTTTACAGTTTAAGTTCTATTTTGCCATATTTTTTGTATTAAACCACAGTAAAGTGTTATCCACAGTGAGGCCTTATCATCCAGACTTTATCACAACAGGGTCAAGCTGATGTAACATGCTCATCATATCATTTGCTAATGTCTTGCCCAATTAGGCAAAACATTGTCTTGGTCGGCAGCACATATTTTTTGAGTATATGCACGCTGTAACATTGTTTACAAATTTGAAAGTTACAATTGATGTAGCACTCCAAATCCAACAGCCATGACAGAGTTTCAGAGGTTTCATTATGTCTAACAAAGTTAAGTCAGGTCTTCAGGAAAGATGCAATTATTTAATTATTGCAATTATATAATTGCAATAAATCACAATTATGCAATGCAATTTATTGCATCCATCCAGAGAACCTGACTTAACTTTGTTAGATTTTTCTACCTCGATTATTGAGCATGCATCAGAACGTTTGATTATGCTTTTGTCATATGCAAATTATTTGTAAAATATTATATTTGAATCATTTTCTGATATAGAGCCTGTTTACCTAAATCAGGGTGTCACATAATTTATCTCCTCATTTTTACGGCAAGCTTCTTTCATGTTTGCTTAACAGGACGAGTGATTCCAGTTAAAACTGGTTTTCTTTTGTCTCTAAAAGCCTCAGAATAATTGTCTCATGCTTGGTGGACTTCACAGATCTTCAGGGGGTATTGCATTCGTTCCAAAACACAAAGCAAAACACAACCAACAAATATCAACAACAAAACACAAAGCTTGTCTTCTAACAGAAATTAATAGCAGCCAGTAAAAAATAAAATTTTATTTGTCACCAATTAAATGGTTAAGTGAGGTCATTAGAATGGCTCTGCCTGGGTTTGCCATGGCTCTGGTTGAGTCTTGGGAACACTATAATATTTGGCTTTCTCGATTAGAATAAGTACTAAAACGTTTCTAGCACAAAGTTCCTAGCAGCCTGCCCTTTTGTCTAATGCATGGGTAACTTGTCACTTTGTCTCCCTGTTTGATAAAACGTTGCTCTTTTTTTGTGCTCCTCAGATAAATAATGTTATTAACTTACTTTGTACTTTTTATGTATATGTATGTTTTTGTGCAGTGCCCTGAGATGACTTCTGTTGAGACATCGCACTACCTAAATGAACTGAACTGAATTGAATTATGTGGGCCAGTTCAATTTTTGATTCAGACTCTAGTTTGGCCCAGCTACTTACCAAACATCAATATGTCCCTGACTGTCTGCATCCTAAAGTGTGAGGTTCTGGTGTTTGGTGGTGGCGTAGCATGAAGTGGATCAGTCTGTGGCACTGCTCAGGTGTTATGAGCCCAGGTTGCTCTGATAGTGACCTTCAGCTCTTCTGAATTGTTGGGGCTGGTGTATCACATCTTCCTCTTCACAATTCCCCATAGATTTTATATTGGTTTAAGGTCAGGTGAGTTTGCTGACTAATTAAGAACAGGGATACCATGGTCCTTAAACCAGGTACTGGTAGCTTTGGCACTGTGTGCAGGTGCCAAGTCCTGTTGGTAAATGAAATCTGCATCTCCATAAAGTTGGTCAGCAGCAGGAAGCATGAAGTGCTCTAAAACTTCCTGGTAGACGGCTGCGTTGAGCTTGGACCACAGTGGACCAAGACCAGCAGATGACATGGCACCTCATACCGTCAGTGACTGTGGAAACTTGACACTGGACCTCAAGCAACGTGGATTCTGTGCCTCTCCTCTCTTCCTCCAGGCTCTGTGACCTTGATTTCCAAAGGAAATGCAAAATTTACTTTCATCAGAGAACATAATCTTGGACCACTCAGCAGCAGTCCCAGGCGAGACGCTTCTGACGCTGTCTCTTGTTCCTGAGTGGCTTGGCACAAGGAATGCGACAGCTGAAACTCGTGTCTTGCATACGTCTGCGCGTGGTGGTTTTTGAAGCACTGCTGCAGTCCACTTTTTGTGAATCTCCCCCACATTTTGGAATGGGTTTTGTTTCACCATCCTCTCCAGGTGCAGTTATCTCTATTGCTTGTACTCTTTTTTCATTCTACCACATCGTTTCCTTCCCTTCACCTCTCTATTAATGTGCTTGGACACAGAGCTCTGTGAACAGCCAGCCTCTTTAGCAATGACCTTCTGTGTCTTGTCCTCCTTGTGCAAGGTGTCAGTGGCCGTCTTTTGGACAACTGTCAAGTCAGCAGTCTTCCCCATGTTTGTGTAGCCTACAGAACTAGACTGAGACCATTTAAAGACCTTTGCAGGAGTTTTGAGTTAATTATCTGATTAGAGTGTGGCACCAGGTGTCTTCAATATTGAACCTTTTCACAACATTCTAATTTTCTGAAATACTGAATTTGGGGTTTTCATTAGTTGTCAGTTATAATCATCAACATTAAAAGACAAACATTTGAAATATATCAGTCTGTGTGTAATGAATGAATATAATATACAAGTTTCATTTTTTGAATGGAATTACTGAAATAAATCAACGTTTCCATGATATTCCAATTTTATGACCAGCACCTGTAGATGTTCACTAAATAAAAGATAACATTTGTGTGGAAATACAAGACTATATTCAAAATTAAATGAAAGTTTCCTTTTGTGTCTAACAGCGAGGTGCGGACACATTACGAGCAGACACAACAGACAGGTGAGGGTTGTGTAAAGCTGTCAGTAGATCCCTGTGATTAGTGAAATGATGTGTTTGTGCTCACATTAACTCCTGGTCATCTTTTTGTAGGTACTCAGGCACAGGAAGCTCAGGAGCTGCTTCCATGAGGAAGGTAGAAGAAAGTGCTTCTTGTTCCTTGTCAGTGTTGTGTATAAATGAATGCACTCATCTTGATTTAATACAAAATAATGGCTCTTTTTCTACTGCGTTGTGATTTCAGTTCAATTTAATGAAGCAGAACAGGCTTCACTTGCTTCAACAATCACCTAGCAACTACATCTGCTGTTACATGGAGATTGAATGTGTATGAATAATAGACAACCATGCAGCCAGGATGGGGTAGAATAAATTTCTAACTGTGATGGTTAAATCAAAAACAACAATCAAATTAGATGAATTTGTTCCAATTTTTTGGGGCATTTGTGACAGAATTTGTTTTAACCTTTTTCTCTAAAGCTCTGAATTGTAGCACAACAGTGATTCGACTCGACTGACAGTAAGCAAACATCTAAACTCATGGGCAGCTGGTCTGTTCAGCAACATAAAAGTGGTGTTTGAGAGTTTGGAAACCCTTTCCACCTTTAGGTTTTCAAAAGTAACCATTGCAGTTAAATTCACACAAATAAAACGTTACTATAAAAAGTAAAATGTACTTTCTAAATCAGCACAAACAGTGGTTAAGCTTTGGTAGTCTGCTTCCATTTAACATGACTTGCTTTATTTTTTTTATTTTTATTTTTAGCTATAATGACACTTTAAGACTGCCCAAAGAAATAAAAAAAAACAACTGTCACTGTTAGCTTGTTGCTCAAATATATTTGTTAAGCTCCAGTATTTTTGCAATAATTCATGAATGAACATTGTGTGTGATTACGGATAGCAGCTGATGGTTAAAAATACTAAAGAGAGAAATTTGAATATAAAAAGTAAATTTGCTGCTTTTGATGCAATTCTTCTAATCTTTGGAAAGAGGGCTCTTTGTAAAACAATATTTTAATTGTTGTAGATGGCTCTTTGAGATGTTTCAATTTGGAAAAAATATTTTGTGGTGTAGACTTAAGTTCAAGTTCAAGTCAATAGCAACACGGTGGATCAGTGGTTAGCACAGTTGCCTCACATTAAGAAGGTCCTGGGTTCATTCCCAAAAGTTGTTAAATGTGTTTGGTTAATGCATTAGGGAACAGGTTAATTATAGATAAATATTGATGTGTCAATGATCAATTCTTTTTATTTCTTAACCAAATTAGTTGTTAAAGCTATCTACAACAGATAAGCTATAAAAAGATCTGAAACATTTTTAAGTGACTCAAATTCCAGAGTTAGCATCTGTCTGATGGAGTCAGTCTCATACAGACTGAACTAACATTTGTCTTGTCTCCCTTCTCTAGTCTTTCCATTACACATCTCTAAGAGCAAAAACCAAAAAGAGAAGTAAAGGTAAGGATCATTTATTTTTTTATTTATTTATTGTTTTTCTGATGTAGCATCATTATGGAAACGTCCAACAACACATGTGACATTGTTTGTTAGCACAATATGCTGCGTTTCCAGTCTATCACCTTGGAATATTGTCACAGTGGTGGGTCACGGTGGAAGATGACCAGACTTGAATTATTAAAAGGACATCAGCTCTGACATCAGATGTTTTTTATGAATTTGGAAATTCCAGATTCACTGTACCTTGTTAAAAATAGATCACACACTCACACATGCACACCTGTGACAGTGAGTACTGCATTCTTGCTCCAAATGTGTCCTCTATTCGACTCACTGTAATTAATTATTTGCTTTTTTGGGTAGTCTCAATTTGTCACTGTCTCCAGCGTAATGTGCTCTGAATAATATGAGGGGTGGAGTGTGTGCTAAAAATCTACTTTCAGGAGTGACACCATTTTTTTTTTTGTCCCGACCTTCTCCAGGTTCCCTCACCAGTGCCAGTCGACGGAGAATCTCCTGTAAGGACCTCGGTCATGGCGACTGTGAGGGCTGGCTGTGGAAGAAGAAAGATGCTAAAGGCTATTTCACCCAAAAATGGAGGAAGTACTGGTTCATCCTCAAAGAATCTTGTCTCTACTGGTACACCAACCAAAATGTAAGACATGATATTCAGAAATCTGATTTATTCGAGCCATATTATAGGATTGCCAAATGTAATGCACAACAGTCATTTATCAGTGCTCAAAAGGAAAAAAAGGAAAACGAGCATTCTTTGTAAAGATCAAATAAAATGAAATTTACTCATATAGCACATTTAAAACAACACCTTTTGACCAAAGTGCTGCACACATTACAGTTAGTAAAATAGCAATACTGAACATAATATCTTAAACACTAACAAAATAAAAATGGTTAAAAACGTGACAAGATATAAACCCTTAAAACAATACAAGTTTAAACTCTCATGCAGTATTAAAAACCAGGAAAAACAAATGCGTTTTAAGATGAGACTTTAAAACACCACAAGTAGAAGCCTGCTTGATGTGAAGGGACAGCTAGTTCCACAGTTTTTAGGAGTCACAACTGAAAAGGTCTGATCACCTCTGTGGACTAACCTGGTCTGCAGGACAACCAAAAACAAACGATCACTGGATCGGGAACCTGGAGAGGACATAACTCTGCCAGACAGGTATCCAATCAAAGTCTTACAGGTAATCAATAAAACTTTAAAATCCATTCTACAACAAAGAAGGAGCCCTTGCAGAGAAGACAGCACCAAGGAGATGTGTTCATGCTCTTTTGCTTGTGTTAAAAGTTGAGCTGAATTGTATGGAAGAGAGAATATGGATGGAAAATAGAATGAGTCCTAGATTGGATCCTTGTGGAACTTCCCTTCTCTGAGTCTTACAGAGAAACTGCTGTCAGACAGATCTTTTGATACTTAACTCCTTGATAAAAAAAACATATACCCCCCCCCCACACACACACACACACAGAGAAAGAGAAAGAGAGAGAGTTAGTTATGTGATCACCCAACTATACTAGTAGTTTACAATATTTTCAAAAAGTTCATTTTTAAAAATACAGTATATCCCAGCAACAATGTAAGAATAACTAACGCATGTACTTTCTACTTGTCTGTTGTTTTTGATCTTGTAAACATGACTTTGTGATTTACAATGATGTTGGTATGTTTAAATCTATATTTATTAAGTCCCGAATGTATGAACGATTTTGCAGCAAAATATTTACAAAGTCAAGCCTTATTTGAAACTTCTTACCATTAAATTTAGAGACCCCAAAATAATGTTTCAAAATACTAAATAAACAAGGCTTAGTAATTAATAGCACAAACATGAATTGTTGCAACTAACTAATAATAATTAATTAAACAGATTTTTTGATTAGGGCGGCATGGTGGCTCAGTTAGTAAAACTGTCGCCTCTCAGTGAGAAGGTTGACGCATCAAATCTCGGTCTGGGGGCCATTCAGGGTGGAGTTTGCATGTTCTCTCCGTGCATGCGTGGGTTTTCTCCGGGTACTCCAGTTTCCTCCCACAGACCAAAAACATGCATGTTAGGCTGACTAAATTGTCCCTAGGTGTGAGTGAGAGAGTGAATGGTTGTTTGTCTCATTTGTCTCTACGTGTCCTTGTGATGGACTGGAGACCTGTCCAGGGTGTCCCCCGCCTCTCGCACAGTGATTGCTGGATATGGGCACCAGTGACCCCCCTATGACCTTAAAAGAAAGAAGCGGATAAAAGATAATGGATGGATTGATTTTTGATTACTGCTTTTTAAACAATAAAGCAGAATACACCTAAAGGTTTATGTCAAAAATATATTTTTTATGTACATTAAGTGTGATTCAGTCACGTTTAAAAAAATCAGATTATGCTTTATATAACAATTTGAAATAAAACTGTAGCTTTATGTAACACCACGTAAGAAGAATGGTCCCAAAAACAATGACAATAACTAAAAACTTGCATTCTTTAAATAATCATCTGCAGCTTTGAATTCCAAAGATTGAAGCATAAACTGTGCATGAGTAGCAAGTGCATTAAGGGTGACTCTCAGCTACTACCACATAACATTTTAGCTCAAACTCAAAAAAAATGACTGTGGTATGACCAGTTTTGTGTTTGCTATGATTTGTTAGCTGTAGCAGCCATCTTGAATGGGTTTGTCATTAATCATTTATAGACATACACCCAAGGATTGCTTCCTGAGAGTTACGTTAAAATCCATCAGAGGTCCTTGAGATATTTTGTTAACAGAAAAACAAGGTTGACTCCACCAGTTTTTTCAAAAGTAAAATATATATATATATATATATATGGCAATCGATCAGTGCTCAGAGTATAGGTTGGAGATTACTTCCAGCTCCTACCACACCAAACAAAACCTCAATGTGTGTAAAATTTACAAGAGTTATAGCCATTTGTATATTTTCTTATGTCAGTTAGCTGTGGTAGTATGACGGAGCTTTAGGGCCACGATAAGAAAAAAAAAGCCGTAAAATTTTGAGAATAAAGTCTTAGTATTACAAGACTAAAGTCGAATAAAGTTGTACAAGATTTTTTTTTTTTACAGCTCTCATTTAATCTTTTTTTTTTTCCACGAGTCGGATCCACGATGTGACCTGTCAATTATTCCAGTAGGCGTGTCAGCAAATGACCAATCCGAAGCTAAATGAGTCGTAATATTATCCAAACTCTGATACAATAAAGCAGGATTATTGCATTTTCATGAAGAATGTTGAGCATCTTGTTAAGTTATACTTTGGTATTGGTTTTGTAAATAAGGAGACAGTTAATCTGTTAGCATATCAGCATCAGATTATTATCAGTATCAGGACATTGAACCTGCTTACAGTCAGGTGGTATGCTCTGATGGGCTGCAGTGCAGCTCTGCAGGTAAGGAGCGTTTAGCTTCGGATTGGTCATTTGCTGGATTGATTGACAGGTCGCGTTGTGGATCCAACTTGTGTAAAAAAGAAAAAAAAGAAACGAGAGCTGTAAAAAAAAGTCTTGTACGACTTTATTCTCGTAATACTAGGACTTTATTCTTGTAATTTTATGGCTTTTGATTTTATTTTCCTTAGCATTGTCCTAAAGCTCCGTCGTAGGGCCATCAATCAGGTAAAATCAGGTTGACTTCAAAAGGTAATCAGTTGGAGGTGATGCTGAGAGTTTCATCAGAATCCATTCAGTCATTCATTACATATATTGCTAACAAATGAACACATACAGCCAAGAAAACACATTATTTTCAGCATTTAGTGGCAGCAAACAATAATAAGTTATTCATGAATCATTGTTTTATGTACTGCAAAACCTTAAAAATACTTAAAAAAAAAACTGTTCCTGAAACATAAATAAAAGTGAAAATAGTAAATATGTTATTATTTAGACTGACAAATGATTTGCATCAGTTTGTAAAGGAGCCTGAGCTGTTCAGTTTGTCCTCATCTTATGCATGGCACAGACCTATCCCAGCCAATGCAAACAACATATCTTGTTTTCATATGCTTGACTTGACCATTTCTGGCCCAAATGAAATTGGTCTATCAGTATGGCTGACATTTTATTCTGCATGTTGATGTACTCTCCATCTGTCTCCGCCCGCAGGATGAGAAGGCTGAGGGCTTCATCAGCCTCCCTGAGTTCAGAATAGACCGAGCCATAGAATGCAGGAGGAAATTGTGAGTCTCCATCACATGTTGCCAGAATTACTAATCAAGCACATTTGCTCTCTCCCACACAACGTGAGCATGCACACAAGCCTACCATGCATACACAAAAACACTAATCAGTCTCCCTGTCTGACTGCAGTGCCTTCAAAGCCTGTCATCCCAAAATCAAGAGCTTCTTCTTTGCCACAGATTGTCTTGAGGAAATGAACAGGTGAGTGCTGCTGTGAACCTAGGCATAAACAACAGTTGGAAACGGTGGATGTCACATGTCTTTAAGTGAATGTTTCAGCTCTGAAAAACAAGTTGACTCAAGGCAACAGCCCAGCAATGTAACACTATGCATGAATAAGGTATAATCCTGGCTCTCTGTTGAGAAATGTGGAGCTGGTGATGTGTGTGAACTTGTGTGGGTCACGTGTTTGCCTGTGAGAGAGAGACTGTAATGATATTTGCAGGAATGCTATCTGATAAGATCTAATTATTCACACCTCTCCTCGACAACATGTGGAGATAATTGGGGGATAGTAATTAACCAGCTCTGTTTGAATGCTGTTCAGCATTTGTTAGTTCATGTGTGGAAGTGCCTGCACATGTTTTCACATGCTCTACGTGTGAAAAAGATGGATGACGGTGTAAAAGAGGAGTGTTATTTCAGTGTCATCACGACTTTTTGGAGGATTTACATAAAAGGTAATCTTGGCCCTCCTGGGGTCAAAACATGTGAACTGTGTCTGAATTCCAAACGGTTCCTATTTCCATCCAAAGTTATTATTATGGAAATGAGCTGATGGCTCAAAACTCTTAGGGTCACATTTTATTGCACTTCAGCATTACATTTCAACGTGTACAGTTGGCATCGATATCTACATCTTATCACAAAGTGGTGCAAGAAAATGACGTAGGACTCAGAACAAGGTTTTTCCATTTCCAAGTTCAAAGTTCTTTATTTGCCATTTGTGCACAGACCAACAGTCCAGACACACTGAAATTCTTGTGAGCTCTCACAGTCGTACCCAAAAACACTGAAACAACACTAAATAAAATAAAAATAAGAACAAGGTGGTTTCTATTTATACTGTACAGAAAATAAACCATGTCACATGACAAGTGAAGTTAGTTAGTGTAGGGTTATTATTGTCCCTGATCAATAGTTTCCTGTCATTGAATTTGAAATGAACAATACTGGGTTATTAGGATATTAGGTTTTAAATTCTTTAATGACAAAAATTTTCCCTAAAACAACAGTATCCAACAATTCTTAGGTATTACAAAATCTTTACTGTCCCTGGTCAATTAGCCATCAAGCTGTTTTATTTGTTTGTTTTATGGTTTAAGTTTACTGCAAATCCAATTAGTACAGTATGGATGACATTCCCTTAAAGAACCATGATGAGTTTTCTGATCCTTGCACAAGGACAGGGCTTCTCTTATTAGTGGTGGTGACACTGTTTCAGGTGCTTTTAGAGCAATGGTGTTCAGTCCTGTGTCCTCATGTATCAAAAAGTGTGCAGTTTTTATGTGGAAATTTGGCATACAGAAAAAAAATTAGGAAAGTGTGTACCTAGATAAATATTTGGATTTATCAAAGTTTGCACACGCACATATCTGCACTCCTTCCCTTCATACATCCTGAGGAACATGGAACTGAGCACAGTTAAAACACCTCCCCTGACGTGCCATCATTTAAATGTGTAAAATAGATGCAAATATGTCCATGATGTGGGATTTTCTTCTTTGCTCAATCAAAAATGATGTCTAGATGTGAGAAAATGCAAAATTAAATTAATTGTTACACAACTCAATAAGTAGTGAGAAGTAAAAACCTTTTGCCACACTTGCACAATGACAAGTGTGTGTGTCTGTGAACTTGCTGACTTCATTGAATGAAGTGAAACAGAGGGCAATGCCCATTTGAGGCTTTTCCAACTTTTTGCATTTGTTTAATAAAAATTACTGTAAAAATTACTGTAAAGACAGAGGCACTCAAAAGCTTGGTAAAACAGAGATTTATTATTTAAATATCTAAAAAAGTTAAGTCTGGTCCTCTGGCCATTCAAAAAAACAAAACAAAGCAAAACAAACAAAACAAAACAAAAAAGTTGAAACGTTTTCGTTCATCCAAAAGACTTCTTCAGTCTCTTTGGTATTCTTTAAATAGTTGATGTTGAGAAACGAGTCACTGCGCATCAACTGCGCATCAACAGTTTAAGCAATGTTATTGGGGAATTTCATACATCAGGGCATCATAAGGATGAGCCATTTCATACAGCTGGCATGGCCCGGCTCAGGGACACCTGTGAAATACGCAATAGGTATTTGGTCCCTTTAATGATGTAGCGGTTTATAAAACCAGCCACTAGGGAACACAAACCAGTGTATCTTTTGTGCCGGTCCCAAGCCCAGATAAATGCTGAGGGTTGTGTCAGGAAGGGCATCCAATGTAAAACACTTTTGACAAAACCATAATGAGAGTTCATCAAAGCAAAACCATACCAGATCAGTCGAGGCCCGGGTTAGCAATGACCGCCACCGGTGCTGTTGACAAACAGGGTGCCGGCAGAAATTGTGCTACTGTTAGTCGAAAACCACAAGGGGGGAAACATGTCAGGAGACAGAGGGAGAAGAGGAAAGTCAAGAACGTAGGACTGAGGGTTGCAAATCTAAATGTGGGGACAATGACAGGCAAAGGTAGCGAGCTGGCTGAAATAATGCAGAGAAAAAAGGTAGATGTTGTATGTGTCCAAGAGACCAAGTGGAAGGGCAGCAAGGTTTGCAGCATTGGAGCAGGGTTCAAACTGTTTTACCACGGTGTGGATAGAAAGAGAAAAGGAGTAGGGGTTGTCCTGAAGGAGGGGTAGGCAAAGAATGTAGTAGAGGTGAAAAGAGTGCCAGATAGAGTGATGTGTGTGAAGGTAGAAGTAGAAGGTGTGATGCTAAACATTGTCAGTGGTTATGCTCCACAGGTTGGATGTGATGTGGAGGAGAAAGATACATTTTGGAAGGATCTGGATGAAGTGATAGAGAGTATTCCCAGGGAGGAGAGAGTGGTGATCGGAACAGACCTGAATGGACATGTTGGTGAAGGATACAGAGAGGAGGAGGAACTGATGGGTAGGTTTGGTGTAAAGGAAAGAAACCAGGAAAGACTGATGGTGGTATATTTTGCCAAGAGAATGGAAATGGCTATAGTCAATACCTATTTCCAAAAGAGGGAGGAACATAGAGTGGCCTATAAGAGTGGAGGAAGGAGTACACAGGTCGACTATATTATGTGTAAAAGAGGAAACCTGAGGGAGACCGTAAGGCTGTGGCAGGGGAGATCGTGGCCAGACAGCATCGGAGAGTTGTGTGTAGAATGACTGTTGTTGTGAAGAAGAGAAAAAGAGTAAAATCAGAGAAGATGACCAAATGGTGGAAGTTGAAGAAGGAAGAATGCTGTGAGAAGTTCATAGAGCATCTGTTAAAGGGTCTGGGTGGTAAGAAAGAGCTTCCAAATTACTGGGCTACTACAGAAACAGTAATTAGAGAGACAGGTAGGAAGGTTTATCGTCTGGACAAAGAATGGATGATAAGGAAACCTGGTGGTGGAATAGTGAAGTGCAGGATGCATTCAAAGAAAGAGGTGAGAGTGAGTGACAGTGAGGAGACTGAAGAGAGCTGAGACATGAATATAAGCAGATGAGATGTAGTTCAAAGAGGGAGGTAGCTAAGGCAAAGCAGAAAGCATATGATGAGTTCTATGGGAGGCTGGACACTAAAAAGGGCGAGAAGGACTTGTTCCTATTGGCAAGGCAGAGGAATCAGGCTGGAAAGGATGTGCAGCAGGTTAGGCTTGTTAAAGATAGGAATGGTAAAGTTCTAACAAGTGAGAACAATGAGACGGGAAGATATAAGGAATGCTTTAGGAGCTAATGAATGAAGAGAATGAAAGCGAAAGAAGCATATATGCCATAGCAACTGTGGACTAGGAATTCGGAAAGATTAGTGAGGGTGAAGTCTGGAAAGCTCTGTAAATAATGAAGAAGGGGAAGGCAGAAGGACCTGATGACCTTATGAGGTTTTTGAGCCAAATCTTCAATGGAATATTTGAGCGTGAAAAAATACTTGAGGAATGGAGAAGAAGTGTGCTGGTACCCATTTTTAAGAACAAGGGTGATATACAGAGTTGTAGCAACTACAGGGGAATTAAGTTGATGATTCACAAACTGAAAGAGTTGTGGAAGCAAGACTTAGACAAGAAGTGACTATTTGTGAGAAGCAGTATTTCATGTCAAGAAAGAGCACTGATGCCATCTTTGATTTGAGAATGCTGACAGAGAAGTACAGAGAGGGTCAGAAAGAACTCCATTGTGTCTTTGTGGGTTTAGAAAAAGCGTATGACAGGGTGCCGAGAGAGGAGGTGTGGTATTGCATGAGGAAACCTGGAGTGGCAGAGAAGTATGTTAGACTGATACAGGACATGTATGAGGACAGCAGCACGGTGGTGAGATGTGTTGTAGGGATGACAGATAGCTTCAAGATGGAGGTGAAATTGTATAAAGGATCAGCTCTGAGCCCCTTTTTGGTTGCTCTAGTGATGGACCGACTAACACATGAGGTCAGTCAGGAATCCCTGTGGACTATGATGTTTGCAGATGATGTGATCTGTGGTGAGAACAGGGAACAGGTGGAAGAGAACTTGGAGAGGTGTGCACTTGAAAGAAGAGGAATGAAAGTCAGTCATGGTAAGACAGAGCACATGTGTGAATGAGAGCGAGACCGGTGGAACAATGAGGTTACATGGAGCAGAGGTCACAAAGGTGCAGTATTTCAAGTACTTGGGGTCCACTGTCCAGGAATATGGGGAGTGTGGTAAAGAGGTGAAAAAGAGCATCCATGCAGGATGGAGTGGATGGAGAAAAGTTTCAGGAGTGATTTGTGACAAAAGGATGTCAGTAAATGTCATAGGAAAAGTTTACAAGACAGTGGTGAGACCAGCTATGTTGTATGGTCCAGAGACATTGACAAAAAGACAGGAGACAGAACTGGAAGTAGCAGAAATTAAGATGTTGAGGTTCTCCTTGGAAGTGACAAGGATGGATAAGATTAGGAATGAAATCATCAGAGGTACAGCACAGGTTGAACAGCTGGGAGATAAAGTTAGAGAGGCCAGACTGAGATGGTTTGGACATGTCCAGAGGAAGAACAATGGGCATATTGGTAGAAGGATGTTACCGAAATGCAGCTGCCAGGAAAAACACAAAGAGAAAGTCCAAAGAGAAGATTTTTGATGCAGTTAGAGAAGACATGGAGGTAGTTGGAGTGAGAACAGAGGATGCAGAGGACAGAGTGAGATGGAGGAGGATGACTCACTGTGGCGAACCCTGAAGAGGGAAAAGCTGAAAGAAGAAGAAGAATGGTTTAGTGGTTTATCCCTTAAATTCACAAAACCAAACGGAGTCATATTTCGGTCTATTTACATGTGTTTCAGTATTTTGTAGGTTAATAATGTGAACTGAAAATGTTTGTGTGGAGGCAAAGCACATTCTTGCAGCAGGTCAGTAGTGTCTTTCACGCAACGTGTGTTTTATCTTTACGCATCTTGACATGCGTGTGAAATCTGGCGTATGCAAAATTTAATTACGTTGATATAGCCTATGAGGACCCTGGTCCCTGAGGGCCACTACCCTGCATGTTTTAATAATTCTCACACGATTTAAATGTTTTGCAGTCAGGCTGTCAAATAACGTATGTATGTCCATACGCATAGGCGTCGCAACCATTATATGTGAAGGGGACAAGTCCCCCCCCCACATAAAAAAAAACATTAATTTGGACCCCCCCACTTTTACTATGAAACATTAGTTCAGGTGGCGCAGTTTCTCTTTCTTTGTGAACAAATCCATTCCACTTGATTAACAGGAGAATACTCAACCTACTAAAACTCCACTCCAGGTTTTCCTGGTTACCTCCAACTCTTCACCGTCCCTTCCTGCCCCTTGCCTCGGCAGAAAACGCGCACAGGTGGAAGGTGGAGGTACCTGTGTTACTCGCTCGCCAGTTTAGCAGCTTAGTGCGGACAGTTGTTGACCAGGGTGGTTGATCATAAACATATATTCATGTTAGGAGGATGCTTGAGAGGAGCGCTACATCTGTAGCATGTTCTCTTAGCAGTAACTGTGACTCTGTAAGACGCTGCAGGTGTAAGAGACGTGGTGTGTTCAGGTGCATTAAAGTTGAAATGTCTTTAAAACCCCACACCTTATTGTCCTCAAGCTTCATGAGAAACATCATTTAGATGAGGAGTGTTGAACACAAGTAAAAAAGTCCAGTGGTGATGTTTTTTATTTCTCTATAAAGACAAATAGTGCCGACATGACGCTCTGTATTAAAGTGTATTAAAGTTAAAATGTCTTTAAAACCCACAGGTGAATTTACACAAACTTGGTGAGAAACATGTTTTAAATGTGTGGAATTAAAGGAAATCTAGGTGAAATGCTGCTTTTTTTGTTCACTAGTGAACACACACGCGCGCGCGCACACACACTTACACACATCATTGTGTCCCCCCCACATTATGGATGCTTCTGACGCCCTTGCCCATACGTCTAACCATCCATCCATCAATTTAATTTTCTCAAAGCTTTGTTTTTTCCTTAGGAGAAAGAAGTCAATGTGACAAATATCAAATGTTAAAAGATTAAAATATGGCACTTCTTTTTCTTTCCTCCCTTTGCTATTCTTGTCATCCATCTTCAAATTATTTATTTTTGTTTCAATGTTTCAATATTTGCTTTCTGCAGGTGGATGAACAGACTTGGGTTAGCTGCCATTGGCTACACACCAGATGATAAAGTGCCACGCCCTGATGAAGGTGAGATGCAGTACCTCCTATAGAAACCATTCACTCAACCTTTTACGTTTGTAATTCCTTATGTTTGTGTGTGTTGGTCTTCCTATCAGACTACTGGAGTGAGAGTGATCAAGATGAGGTTGATGGATCAATGACCCTCAAACAGGAAGGACCTTCATCTCTCTGTGATACTTACCATCGCACACCATCTGTAAGTAATATTCATTCATGATCCACAGTTTTCAGAGCTGCATAGACTAAAACATTTCAGCATCAATAAAACATCAGAGTAGGAGACTATGCTGTTCTGTTTGCAGCCAAGACTATAGATATTTTATTCTATGATCTGCTGCCAGAACTCTTCCCTGTCTGACCTGCAGATGGCATCTGTCACGCTGCACATTTTATATTTTTGCTCTTACTTGGTGGTTGTTCAGACATGTATATTCAGGTCTGACAGCACCATTACCATGATAACCCAAATTAAACCATTCAGTAGCCATGTCAGCTGTTCTTGCAGTTGCACCTCTACCATCTCATTGCTTTTTTGCTCTCATATTTTGGTGTATTTCTGCCCTTTACTCCCTCATGTCTGGCACTCTCTCTCTGTCCTGTTACATCTCACTTTGCATGTTTTATTGTTTTCTGTCTGTTTGTTACCTATTTGGCAACCTTTCTCTCCTTGCCCCACTCACTCTTGTCCACATTGATCCACACTGCCCATCACACATTTGCTGGACCATCAGGTCAGTCTCCTCCCCAGTTATAACCAATTGCCCCGCTCAGTGAGCTCCATGAGCCTCATGCGCTCCACTCCATCCCCACTCCCAAAGAGTGCTTCTACCTCCCCCATCCCTCCACAGATGGTGTCTTCCACCTCCCCTCTCCCTCTCCCTCTCCAGGTGAATTCTTCCAGTCCTTTCCCAGAGTCCAAGCATGGTCGACATTTCTCTAGTGAGTCCACACACTCCCACTCCTCAGCAGAGGACCAGCGTGGGGATGGCATGGGCATGGGCACGGGCACAGGGAGCACCAGCACCCACTCGTCTGGCTGCCGATCCTCCCATCGCGAGCGACGCTCCTGGCAGGACCTCATTGAGACCCCTCTGACAAGTGCAGGACTGCACTTCCTCCAGACAGCGCCAGGGGACAGTGACTATGGTGGCCCGATGGGTGGCATGGCTGGAGAGATGGGATTCTACGGAGGACTGGGCAGGCAGGGAATGTCCCCAGAAAGACGTCGGCAAGCCACACTACCTGTACGGAGACACCACGCAGCAGAGAGAGACCGAGAGCGGGACGGGCCTTTCCCCCTGGAGCGGGGCCCATACACACACAGCCACACACACCGACGCTCCCACAAGCAGCGCAGCCAGAGTCTACCCAGGAACAGAGACCCAATGCATGGAAAATTCATGCACACATCAGCTCATATGGAAGAGAGGAGTGAAGATGAGGAGGCAGAGGGCCAGGCAGCAGACATACTCGAGGCAGAAGATGGTAAGAAAATTTGATTGTCTTGCATGTAAACTGTAAAAACACTCTTTGATAAAGGTTACATCATCTAAATAATAACCTGGGAAGTACTCATAAATTAGTTGCTACAGGTAAATATTTTACATTGTAAAAACTATACATAAAACTACAATTTCTTTAAATTTGGTGCATGTATTCCGACTAAACTGTCATGATACTGATGACAATGAATATGTTAGTCACAGGTAATCATAATTCATGTTCATTGTTTATTTTTTTGGCCAAAGATTACTTTCAGTGGGTATAAAAAGTGTGCATTCCACAGATTGTCTACCAAATTCAAGAAATCCAACTGTGTTCAAGTTTCAACCATCTGTTAATTTTAAGGTGATGTTGACTGTTTCCTTCATTATTCCATCCATTTTGGGCAAAGCATAGCACGATTGTGCCACCGCTATGGTTGACAAATGGTATGACCTTAGATTTGAAGTACTAATTTGACTCTTCCAAATATACTTATTGTCACTGTGGCCAAAAAGCTATATCTGTGTCTTGGCTGAACATACAGATTTTTTTACAAGGCATTTGCCTTCTTTGTTGGTTGTCACCCTTAGTTGATGGCGGCGTCAAACTTTTCACTGTGGACAGGGATACTGGTGTTTCCAACAATTTTCAGTTCATGGCAGTCTTGAACCTTGGTGTTTCCTGCGTTGTCCCTGAACACCTTAAAAAAAACTGTTTTTGTTACAATTCTGTAGTGTGATAGAACCCATGTGCAGGCAGGACTCAGAGCACTTAGGATTTAAAGTATTTAGTTAACATTGAGCTACTTTTAGTTATCATTTGCTTCTTTAAACTAGTGATTTGTTACTTTTTTGTTTACTTTTTTCTCACTCGCTCTGGAAGGAGGCGCACGCATTATCTTCCCTCTCCCTGTTCTCCTCCTGCTCTTTTTGCTCTGTCTGTGCATCGGAGCTCCTATTTTACACATCTTCTGACATGAAAACTACTGTTGTGGATCTGACCAAATGGACTTTCGACGCAAATGACAAAATCTTTTCAACAAAGCGACAGGGTCCTGGAGAACCCTGACGTCTGCTTGGACGACACGTGCAGCTGGATATACTGTATCTCTGGGGAAGTGGAATGTGATGTGTCTATCTCTGCTGTCAATCGAGGATGCCGAAATTGCATATAATTGGATTTATGACAACAGGTTTCCTATTCTGGAATAGTCTGGATCCTGGTTTATTAACATACAAAGAAGACGGCCACTGCTAATTTGACCCTCGTCAGTCTGCTGGCTATGTGAAGATTTAGTTTGTGCTTTGAGGACTCAAAATCAGTTGATTTACGAGCTAAACCATAAGATGGAAGTGATTTGAATCGCAGGCCACCTGCAGCTTTGGGACTCATCAGCATGAAATGACCTTGAAGAGGCTCATAAGCACAGACCAGTAGAATGCACCCTAATCTGGCCATTCCGGACCTTGAAGGTATCAGTAAGACTCAAGGCTGAAAAGAAAAATAGTCTGCCTGAATAAATCAACAAATGTAACTTATCTGAATCTGACTCCCCGGTTGGCCTCGAACAGGCTGACATCAATTTCTCCTGGGAAATGTGTAAACTAAGGAAAAGCTTGGTCTATTGCAAACCCCACCCCCCCAACTTCTGCGAAGGCTTATCAGAACTGTGCCAACTGACCATCATCTGATCAGGACAATGGACCATCTGTTAGTGCTTCATGGACTGTCTCGTCATAAATGCATATGTAACGTGTTTATAAATGTGCTGCTGGCAGAGTTTTTTTTTATGTCTTAAATCGTGTTCTGTTAGGACAAGGTGAGATGCGATCTTTTATTTTTGTAATGCCACTATCCTCTCCTCATGGCTTTGTCTCCTTTTATATCTAAAAAAAATTATTCTGACAAGGATAAGAAGGCTGCGCTCTTAAAGAGCAGCAGCTACGTGCACTCCGCCCATCGTTCAGACGACTGTACGGACATATTCTCATTGAATCTTGGTACAATGATAATAAAGCTTGTTCTGAATTCTGACTCTGAATTAGCATTGTATTACTTTTAGATAGTCATTTGCTGCTTTTAGTTAGCATTTAGCAACTTTTAGTCTGCATTGGCTACTTTAAACTGCTGGTAGAATATTTATTTATTTATTTATTGTAAATTTATTCATTTCATATAAAAAACAATGACAATTTTTAGAAAGAAAAAAATTAAACAAAAAAACATAAAATGAAAGGAAGCAGAAGAAGAAAACATTTCTTATTATATCTGCTCCCTATTAAACAATCAAATTCAAACAATCAATTCAAACATTAATTTGCTTATTGTAATACAAAAGAATAGTCTCATCAAAATACCTTTATAATTTGTTAAATAGAAACAACTAAATATAATTCTTTAACAAAATAGTTTTAACCATTTTCCTAAATGTTAGTATCGACTTCGCTTTTTTTACATTGTCCTCCAAACCATTCCAAAGATCAATTCCTCTTACTGTAGTAGATCTACCCTTTAAACTTGTTCTGTACTTAGGTTTAACAAACATTTCTATTCCCTTTAAATTATAACTACTGGTCCTTTTCACAAAATAGTTCTGAATGTTTGATGGTAGTGAGCAATTCTGAGCTCTAAACATAAGTAAAAGAATATTATAATCAACCAAATCATAAAACTTAAGTAATTTCAATTGACAAAATAGAGTACCAGAAGGATGACAATAATTTTTCCTCATTATAATTCTTACAGCTTTTTTTTGCAAAATAAAAATAGGCTTAGTTGTTGTCTTACATGCTGTACCCCAAACATTTACACAATAAATTAACTGCGGAACTATGATTGTATTATAGAGCAAGTACAAAGCCTTATTATTTAACAAGTCCCTTACACGATACAATACTGCAATTGACTTAGATATTTTAATTTTAACAAAATTTACATGCTGTTTCCATGACAGTTTGTCATCGATAATTACACCCAGAAACTTGATCTCATTCACTCTACATATCTTTATACCATCAATTTCAAAAGAAAAATCCAAAGTTGTTTTTGTTTTTTTACTAAATATCATAAAATTGGTTTTATCAATATTCAATGACAACTTATTTAATTTAAACCAAATTTGTATTTTTTCAAACTCTGTCTTTATCAATACAAACATCCGTTCCAAGTCTTCACCCAAACAAAAAAAAGTGGTATCATCAGCAAATAAAATACATTTGAGGATATCAGACACCTCAACTAAATCATTAACATATAAAATAAATAACTTGGGTCCAATTACAGAACCTTGTGGTACTCCTCATGAAGTTCTGCTTAAATTAGAACGTACATCATCCATCTGTACAAACTGTTTTCTATCACTCAGATAACTACTTATCCACTGCAATGCAGGACCTCTGATACCATATTGATTCAATTTTGCAATTAAAATGGTGTGATCAATAGTATCAAATGCCTTCTTTAGATCCAGAAATATACTTATACAATGTTTTTTATTATCGACTGCTGTTGTAATTTGTTCCATCAATTCCATCAGAGCCAAGGATGTAGAACTAGTTGATCTAAGACCATATTGACTATTACTCAAAATATTTTGTTTGTCAAGAAATTTATCTAATCTAGTCACAAACAATCTTTCGAGAATTTTTGAAAATTCTGGCAAAAGAGATATAGGTCTATAATTACTAAATACAGATTTGTCACCATTTTTAAAAAGAGGAACTACTTTAGCTATTTTCATTCTGTCAGGGAAAATGCCTTTTGAAAATGACAAATTACAAATATATGTAAATGGCACAATGACATGACTTATTATTTCCTTTACAACCACCATATCCATATCTTCACAGTCCTTTGATCTTTTATCAGCAATATTATTAACTATCTTCATAATTTCCTCTGTTTGTTCCACCCAGAAACATACTGCTTACACAACCCATTTTTACATTACTAACAATATTATCTACTTTAGGAATCATTGCTGCAAGACTAGACCCAACATTTACGAAATGATTATTAAAGCCAGTAACGATTTCCCTATCATCATGGATTTCCACATTATTTTCCACAAAATATCCTGATTCATGCTCAATAATCCAGGTAGAAACATCTAAAAATGTTAAATTTGGTCCTCTGGACATTCAAAAAAACAAAACAAAACAAAAAAATTGTAGAAGCGTTTCGTCTTTCATCCGAAAGACTTTTTCAGTCTGAGGTGCTGTATTCAGCTCCTCTGGTAGAATCCTCTACTGGTAGAATATGTATTTAATAAGGACAAAACAACAGCTGACATGCAACAATTTTACATACTCTCAGGGATGACACTGAGGCAGACAGAACCATAATGCCATACAGACAATGAGGAACAGAGACGCAGCCTTGCATGCAGCTAACGGACAGACAATGACAAACACCTGGGGAAAGACAACAGGCAGAGGCAGGAGTTACAAGAGGGAGAGACACTGAGGAGAGCAGGACAGAAGACAAGAATTACACAAACACACGCAGATCCTCTCAGTTTTTATCTGATGAGTATTTGTTAATTCAATGTAAAACAAAACCTTTATTTTTCATTATGTCATTGTATGTATTTATTTGGGCATGGATCTGTTAACCATATGGAGATCAGAGAAAACCCACAATAAATTCAAACACAATTTTGTTTTAAAAACTTATCGCTGTAGTACGGTGTACAATCATTGCACCCTAAAAAAGAACAGTTCAATAAAAACGTCAAAGCTCAAAATTATTACAACGTTCATGCTTATAATCAGCGTTAACTTCCAATTGAAATAAACCCATTCAAAAAAAATATGACAGTTTTTGATGAATACCAAAGAGTTCTTCAGTATTAGGAGTCCTTCCTGTTCATTTACAAGTGTGTCCTGCAGCTGTGAAGAACCTGATTCACTTCTTGCTGATGTAAGTCACAGCAAACTCTTTCTTTTATTTACTCAATGATAGTACTTATGAAAAGGGTTGTACGTTCAATTATCCAGGTATAACAGGTTAAATCATGTAACTGGTCCAGATGACATGATTTAACCTTTTTTGTTGATAGTACTTATGCTTCAAATGAAAGTATAGTAGTACAAGACTGAGCAATAAGGATGTACCGTATTTTCCGCCGTACACGTCGCTCCGCCCTATAAGTCGCATCAGTCCATATTTGTCTAATAAAGTGGAAAAATCCATAAATATGTCACTTCGCCATATACGACGCATCTATTATGCGTCACCGCTAATGCGTTGCATTTGTTACGCGTCATCGCTGACAACCCGGAGATGTGGGCCGAACCTGGAAATGTGGGACGGTGTTGTGCCAAAAATCGATGGGCTTCCAAATGGTGGCTGCAGGAGCATGCAAGAGATGACTTTAACAAGAATTTAACAAGAGTAATACTTATAAACAATTACTTGTCTGTTCCAAATTATAGTAAAGGTGCGTCTCAGTCTAACGTTTGCTTAATAAATGTCCTTTGATGGTCAAATCAGCTGAATGTGAAAAGCTGATATACGGAAGTAAACGTGTGCATGCGATGAGTCGCTGTGCATATTTAACAAGATTAACACAAACAATTATTTGTTTGCTCAACATTATAGCAAAGGTGTGTCTCAGTCTAACATTTGCTTAATAAATGCATTTTAATGGTCAAATAAGCTGCATTTTAAAAATAGTTTTGCTGCCTTGGTGCTCCGAGAGCGCGCAGAGGGAGGAAACCAAGAAGGAGGAACGCTGATCGTTTCTTCAAAATTTAACAAGAAAAGCACCTAAAATAATTATTTGTTTGCTTGACTTTATAGCAAAGGTGTGTCTCAGTCTAACGTTTGCTGAATAAATGCACTTTAATGGTCAAATTAGCTGCAGTTTGCCGGGGTGGTGCAGCTGTTTTGACGGTTCCAAGCAGCAAGCAGAATGAAGGAGGGGAGATTATGGCAGGCTAATGGTATCATTAATAGCTGGTGAAGGTTCTCAGTCATCCAGGACATGGTCAATTAAAAAAAAGTTCAAGAAAAAAACAAACAATAAAGTATAAAGTAAAGTATAATAAATAAAGTCCAGTTGTTTTTGTCTTGAACTTTTTTGAATTTGTCATTATAGCCACGTTTACCTGTTACATGATACAACGGCATGCCATAAGGCTACTACTACACTTCTGCCATCAAGTGGCTGAAAGTGGTACTGCTCAATTTTTTTTTCAGTCAGAATGAATGAAAACAGTCATATCTCAGCCAAAAAAATGGTTTATAAATATGGGGAAAAAATCCATAAATATGTCACTTGGGCCTATAAGTCACAGGACATGCAAATTATACAGAAAACTGTGACTTAAAAAAATCAAGAAATTGGTTCAATAAAATGCTGAACATTTTAAAAACAAATGGTGCACCAATAGAAATGTTTGTTATTACTGGAGGCTTTTTACATGAATAGAAAAACTCTTGGACTTTTGCTGTCATGTCAGACATCATCACAGCAGTATCTAGCAGTTATAGCAAAACCACACTAGAATTGTTTTTTTGTTTGTTTTTTTTTCGGAAAAATCGTCTAATATTTGCCCATCCTGTCCTTTTTCCATCAGTTCTGTCCCTCCTCTACCTACCAGCCACTAGTCCCAACACAAGTCAAACTTACAGCAATTCATGCATTTCACACATGGTTATTTTGTCCTTTACTCATGCAGAGATAATTATAGTGCAACAACAAACAGTTTTAAAGCAGCGACGGCCGTTTTAATGAGCTGCTGCTGTATGATTTAGACCCTTTGCATATTTTTGCTTAAAAAAAAAAGACCATGTTCACAAAATAGTTGCAACCTGCAATGAATTAAAGATTACTCAGCTCAAATGGTGCAGTTGAAATATCTTCTGCCGAAACAGGTTTCAGGTAAAGGAACATGCGCTACCAGAGATTTTTATATTCCTTCAGTGCGCCTCTGGATTATCTGAGGACTCACGTTTTCTAATATTAAAGCTGAGCTCACCAGTGACCATGGTTTCTGCTCTATGATCCTTTCAAAATAAACTACAGTGGCTAAAAAAAGGTGCTGGGATGCTCTGAGCTGTTTTTTTCTCTTTTTTGAGAGGTGGAATATAGACAAAAAGAATAAATGGTTTAAAAAGACTGTTGCGATGGTCACATCAGTTTGTCAGAGTTGAACATTTTAGCTACTGTTCACATATGCAAATATCACTGCTCATTCCCACTCTACCCAGCATCAGTCTGACCTTTCCTTCGTGCCTCTGGCTGTTTCAGACCCACGGGACTTTAGAGTCGAGAGCAGAGACAGGAGGGTGTCAGAAGGATGGGAGCCTGAACCGTTGGAAGGGTTAGAGCAGCTTTATCGGGCCCTTGAACAAGCCAACGTGACGCCTCTAGGAGACCCTAAACCCTGCAGCAGGCAAGAGTTTCGGCGCTGTTTCACCCAGAGAGTCAGGGACCCACTGCTCAACGACCGGCTGCACAGAGTCCGAGCCCTCCGCAGCACTCTAAAGGTATCGACTCGATCAGATAGGATTACATCAAAAAAGGGTTTAACGTTGGACCTTCCTGATATCTCTTTGCTCCCGCAGGCCAAAGAGTCGGAGCTGGAGGTGATCTGCGCCCTGCTGGAGGACCCCGGCCTGTGCTCGCAGACCTTCAGAGAGTGGAAACAGTGGCACAGCGAGCTCTACTCAGACATCTGCCAGCTCAGCCCCGGCACCAACGGCCAGGACGACCTGTCTCCGCTGGCCGCGCCACTCATGACCCACACACACTCCTTCATCGAGACTCACGTGTGACGAAACTAAAACAAACTGAGCCGATGCGCGTGCACGCACACACACACGTGCGCGCGCGCTGACATAGAGCTTCACATTCATCGAACTGTTCCTCCTGATCACGACTCAGAGCACGCACCCACTCACACAGAAACATTGTAAGATGTGTAAATATCAAAGAGGGAACGGTCTGAGACCTGCGTGTACGAACTTTTGATAATCCCAAGGACCCCACAGGGTGCCTGTTGCATGCCTGAACAGAACACATTAATCTTCCTTTGTTTATTGAACTCGCCTAACCCTTGTCAAGAAAAACGGGAAAATAGGAGAATTTTAACGTTGGTTTCTTTGTGTTCTCTACATTTGGCTACTTCTTTTGTTTGATTTAAGGGGGTAGGGGGAGCTATGTAGCAGCAATACAGACGAGAATCCTTTTCACCACAGCACTGTACTTTTTCTACTAATGAACTTTGCACCCAGAGCCACCAGTTCTCCCCCTTTCTCTTCTTCTTTTTTTTTTCTTCTCATTGCATACGTGATTTACAGGGACCTCACTGTTAATCCGGGCCAATCTCACGGGACAATGTGGGGACATGTGAGGGAGGTGTAAGACTGTGACGAGTAGCTATCAGTGCTGGTGTTTTAGCTGTTTCTCTGGGAACCCATGAAATTTAAGCATCGAGCAACAGCTGTGCTAGCTAACCACGAGCGCACTCTTTTAAACTGTGAAGTGTTCAGAAATGCCCTTTCACCTGCAGAAGGCTCCTCTGCCAGAATGCACTCCCCTCTTTCCACGTCCTCCTCCTGTTGATTTTTTTTCCTCTAACTCTCATAAACTTGTGCATATGTGTATACCGATGTAAATGTTCGCGTTCCACTTCCACTGTGATACGCTTTTAGAGGTAGCCGAGGGAAGAGACGGCACGTTTGTGTTTGTGTGGGTGAAAGGCATCCTTTCCAAAACTTAATTTCAAACAGCGAATGCAAGACATAAAGAGTTTGTTTCAATCAAGCCACTCACTACAAAGAATGCACTTTCTATATCTCTGTATCTCACTGGCTGCACCACAGGGTCTGCGTCTCGTCAGCCTCCTTCCCATCGCTGTTCAGATATCAGGTAAATGCATCCGCCGCCCCATTTTCTACAGATTTGTGTACAGCCTACAGATATATTTAAACATAGAATATATAAATCTATTTATGTTTTGTGTCATAGGTATAATGTAAAGTACGATGTATTCTATGCCAAGGTTTTGCAGTGTCCCCCTCTTCACTCTGTACATGCAGGGTGCTCAGCAGCTGAACAACCACCACTGACAGCTGAGCGACAGTTTCTCTGGTTTAAGTTCTTCTCCTGCTCATGTGCTGCATGAAGAAAGGTCTCGGACTGGCGTGAAAGGAAAGGGTTAAAATACTGTGGATCATTTTGCATTCAGCTCTTCTCACATTAGCAGGATTTGTAGCGCATGATACATGCAAAACTGCTGTTCTTTATATTTTCACATGTTTAAAAGCTTGTTTTGTTAGAAAATATTTGAAGACACACACTGTACAAGAACTGGGGCGGGCAGACTTCGGCTCCCCGGTTCTTTGAAATAATGCAGATCTTTCTTTAGCATCCACGCAAAATGATTCTGTTTGTTGCTTTGGTTTATTCAGACTGACATACCATCATGGTGAAAAGAGTCAACCCTCTTTCTTTTTTAGGGTTTAACGTATCAGACGCAATAAAAATGATCCAAATTTAACCTTTAGTTACAAAAACACACAGCAGATTACATCATGAAAAATGAAACCAAAATGGAAAAGACCAAAGTCCATGCTCTATAATCCAGGTATAAAATCCAACAGTGTTCAGTCAGGTCATCTGGACGGTTTCTTTTTTGTGCTGAGATGTTTCACCATTCATCCAAAGGACTTCTTTAGTCTGAGGAACAACCAAACATAACTAATTCTCCACCAACAGCTTAGTAAAATGGAAAAACAAAACAGCAGGCTGGTGCTAAAATGGCCTCTGGAGCCCTCCCTCTCCCTCGTCAACTCCATTGGATGACGGACGAAACGTCTCAGCACAAAAAAGAAACCATCCAGATGATCTGACTGAACATTGTTGAGCAAAATAGAAACGCTTGAACAGCTTGAAGACTCACCTTTACGTCCATGCCGTCCAGCTCTCGTGTTTTCTGTATGACTTTATCAGTCTCTCTCATGTTAGTGGGGACATTTTGACCCACTCTTCTTTACAACGTTGCTACAGTTCATTCAGGTTGGCAGACATTTGTCTGTGCACAGCTTTCTTTAGGTTCGATAACAGCATTTCTATCACGTTTAGGTTTGGACTTTGACTAAACCATTATGTTAGATTCCCCCTGCCGACATGATTTGCTGCTATGATTGGGATAATGGTGCTGTTTCTCCATGACACAGATTCAGCTGTCAGACAAATGGCCTCACATTCGACTCTAGAATATTTTGGTTTACAGAGTTCAAGGTCAGCTCAATGACTGAATCATAGGACCTTTTCGTCCCATGCATTACAAATGATTGGAGTTGTTTGTGCAGAGATCCCATGTTGACATTTTTTCCCTAACATGGTGCTGTGCATTATGGGTAAAAATCTGCATTTTGGTTTCACAAATAGTAAAAGGACTGTACACCAGTCCCTCGTTTATTGTGGGGTTTCCGTTCCCAACCTCACCGAGAAAAGTAAAAAGATGCCAAGTAGTAGTACAAGTAGTAAGTAGTAGTTATATATATATAGGTGTTTTAAACCCTTCCCAATATTCTAAACACTGTTTTTAAACTCTAAATGCTCTAAATGAGCACCGCACGTCATGATCTCTGCTCTCTGCTTGCGCTCTTGGCCACGCCCGCTTCTCCACTGCAGAACAGAGATCATGACGCGCTGCAGGAGGGAGCTTCTCCCTGCTGCTGTGGGCTGCACAAAGGTGCAGCAGGTGCTAAATCATTTAAAATAATTTATTTTAAATAAAATTTCCATGCCGACCGTGTGGCTCATCCATCAATCAGCCAATTGTGTGTCATGTTCTATCTTACTTTGAAAAACTGTGAAAGAGCGAGCCTGCGAAAGTCGAACTGCGAAGTATCGAGGGACTACTGTACTCTTATAGCACCTTTCTATCTTATCAAGACACTTAAAGCTCTTTACAATCTGTGCCCTCATTTACACATTCATACAGCACTCTACTAGATCTGTACAAAGACTAATCAGTGCTTTTAGATCACATTCATACACAGATGGGACACGCATCGGAGGCATTGAGGGGTTCAGTGTAGTGCCCAGGGACACTTCAGCATGTGACTGCTGGTGGAATCAAACCCTCAACTCTCCCATTGTAAGACTGCTCTAACCATTCAGTCACAGCTACCCCAAAGTTCATCTGTCCAAAGTACCTTGTTGCAGAGGTTTTGTGGGTCCTTACAAACCTAAGTCATGCTGCCACGTTCTTTTAGAGGAGGTCGTTGCTTGGCAACCGCTCCCAACAAACTGTACTTGTTCATTTGTTTCTGATTATTTTGCCATGGCAGCCAACTCCGACCCAAAGATCCTGGGTTTGATCCCTGGTCATTGCACATCTTGTAGTGTCTCTGAGCAGGACACCTCATCCCCAGTTCCAACCCTAGCGCTTTCCATAGCTGCCCACTGCTCCACCTGGGGTGGATGGGTTAAATGCAGAGAGAGAGAATTTCAATGATGACAACACATAACACATTTTTATTATTATTATTATTATTACCCTTTGACCTGATAATCGATATCTGTAGATCTCTGTAGATTTTTTATATTTATACACAGTCTGACTTTGGGGTGAATTTGTTGGACAGCCACTCCAGAGAATAATGTCAACTGTCTTCAATGTTTTCGACTTATAAATATTTCCTCTCACTGCAGAATGACAGTTTCAAAATAGTTTTGAGATTACATTTAATTTTTAGTCTTTTGATAAGCAGAAACAGTTGCTTCTCTAAAATCATTGCTGATGTCTTTCCTTCTTGGCATTGTGTTAACACAGCTGTATGCTTCAAAGCAGCAAACTGTTTAAAGTCCCCCATAGAACAGATCACACTAATGGTGATCAGCTGATGGACACGTTAGATCAGCTGCTACTTCCTCCCACTTTAAATCCTATGGATGCAGCAAGGGTGAGTTAGCTTCCTCATACACCACTTTCAGTTCAGTTTACACTGTATTCATTAAAGACCGGATCATTTTTATATGTCCTGAAATGTAAAGCCCTAGACCTGAAAGAGGGTGGATTTTCTTTTTCCCCAAAAAAAGTACACAGAGAGGTTTTATATAATTATATGTAAAAGACACGTACAGTTAGCTCCATGATGAAAGCTGTTGTGGCATGGACTTGACTCTGTAAGCCGCTACACTCGGTGGTCTGGATTGTCTGAAACTCAAATGAATCGTTTCATCACCGTCAGGCCAAAGACTCCACGGTGCCCCCCCAGTGTCACAGACTCGGAGATGTGTAGCACCAGCTGCATCTTTCTGTGTTTCTGTCAGTCTCCTGCAGATGTTTCTTCCCGTCACATTGAAGTGAAACATCAACCGCGTCACTAAAATATAGCTCATGTTTCTGAGTGGGTAATCTGAGCGTGTCACAAAGACACTAAACGATGCAAGCACGCTCACGTGCCTCCCAGTCCTCTTTGGCAGCAAAGGACTAACTATACTGGTGTTCCTACACAGGTGTTGAAGAGCTATAACTCAGTTCCAGTCTGCAGGCCTCCATCTTTGTTTGCTGTTTGTCCCCCCAGCTCCTCTGAGCAGGCAACATACTGTAGATTTAAGGAGTTCAGAGTTAAAACTTAACTGTAGGCACTGACTGTGTTACCCTTCCCAGATTTTATTTGTGTGTGTGTGTGTGTGTGTGTGTGTGTGTGTGTGTGTGTGTGTGTGTGTGTGTGGACCTGCAGAAAACAGGAAGAAAAGGGAGATTCCACTGTGTGTTCTTTCAGGGGTGTACACCTCATGGTACATTGCACAGGTGTGTAAGTTGTAAGTTGCACTGCGACATTAAAAAAGGAACATATTGCTCTTTTACAAGGACAAGATTAGCTTACTGTTATAATGTACATTAAACTGACTAAAGATATAAAAAAAACTAAAGAAAATTACATTTATTCTTCCTAAAGTAGCCTTTTTTGGTTTCATATATATGAATATATATAAATATAAATATATATATATTACAAAAAATACAGATTGTAAACTTAAGTTGTTAAACTTTGACTTCAATAAACTGAATTCTCTGCACTATGAGTTGTTGTCTGTGTACGATTTGTCTACAAACGTAGATTTATTGTGCTTTATTTGTTTAAAAACCTTTTCAGAGCGACGTGGTTGTCTGTCACCTCCAGATCTATCAGCCGTGGTGCCATTGTGTTTTACTCAAACAATACTTTGTGTCTCTTGGTGTTAATTAAATAAAATAAATGCATCTGGGAACAAAAAAGGAAGATTAAAGTATGAGCAATAATAATTTATTTAGATTGTGATTTAGACATGACAACACCATGGTTGGTTTGCAGGGACCAGACAGATCAGCTAATAACTTCCAGAGCAGATTTAGCCATTTTAAAACATCTCTTTTTATTTTTTCTTGTTAGATTTGGATTACAGGTATTTGTGCTAATACAATATATTATAATATTCCTGCTTGAAGCAGGCTGCATCTGAAGTACCTTTTTTAGCTGCTCTTAATAATCACATTTAATGTAAAAACCATGTAATTCAAAATGCAAGGTAATATGAAGAATTACAAAATAACATTACACAAATCACTGGAGATCCTCTTTGCTCTTAGTTGTGTTTGAAACAGCTATTAACTTGTCAGGTCTGAATAAAACTATTTTTTCCAAGTGAAGCTGTTCCAAAGCAAGATATTGAGTCCAACATTTTTCAGTCAGGTCATCTGGACAGTTTCTTTTTTGTGCGGAAACGTTTTGCCTTCGATCCAGAAGGCTTCATCAGTCAAGGAAACACAACAAAACTGATTCTTCCCCAACAGCTTACTCCAAAGTGGAACAAACCAGTTCTTCATCTTATCACCAGCAGAACTGGTTTGTTCCACTTTGGAGTAAGCTGTTGGGGGAAGAATCAGTTTTGTTGTATTTCCTTGACTGATGAAGCCTTCTGGATCGAAGGCAAAACGTTTCAGCGCAAAAAAGAAACTGTCCAGATGACCTGACTGAAAAATGTTGGATTGTATACCTGGATTATTGAGCATGGACTTTGTTGTCAAGATATTGAGTGTTTATAACATTTATTCAAATGTTATAAATAATACATTAAGTTGATTAGTTTGATATGATGGGTCCAGATTCTTAAAAAAAACTTCACAAGCAAGTAGTGAAATCCTAAAATGAGGAAGCAGAGGATGCATTGGAAACACGCCATGGCCTGACCTAGACAAGCTGTTGTGTTTTGAATAACTTCTAAGAGACACAGAGACAACTAATCTGGTAAAACAGAATATATCAACAAATGAGCAAATAGCTCAAAACCTGTGTGGCACCATTAGGTCTGTGAATCCTTGGGGCAGATATGTGACATGCACAACATTACTCTTGTGATGATCTACATATGACTATAAGCAAATATTAAACCAGTTGCTGTTTTTCTATGAATAAAACTAAAATATTTTAATCATTTGCATGCAAACTAAATAAAATAAAATAAAAACTCTCCTCTTGCCAGAACATTAAGAGGACGTGCACATCAGGATGTCGCCGCCTGCAGTAGCGCCGTCAGGCCGCTAGGTGTCAGTAGCTGACTGCGCTTCAGAGGAGGCGCAGCGAGGCGGCTCGACTCCAGGACGAAGAAGATCACTTTCATGGCGGCCAAGGTGAAGCGCTTAATGAAATCTTTCTGGATACGTCATTTTTATTGTTTTTGCGGTGTAGTTTCAAGAAATGCATGTTGTCTGCTTGTGTAAACTCTCCCGGAGCCGTGAAAGTGTGCATGAAATGACCGCCATCTTGTTTGTTTTAGAGTAACGCAGCCCTGCGATCAAAACACGACGACGTTTCACCTCCAAACAACTACTCTAGAGTTTAATATCTGTCTGCCACGACATTACAGTCAGCGTTGTGCACATTTAGCCTCAATACGAGCACATTTATTTGATAATAGTGCGCTAAACAATAATGTGTTTAGAGAAACTTTGACATGGGTGGGATACCGGTCAGTCCAGTCTGCTGCAGATATTAGTTATTGTCCGTCATTGTTTTCTATAATAAGACCAGTTATTATATGTAAATAATACAAGAGAGTTAACGATTGTAAAATTGCACTAAAACAGTCCTGGAGCAGTCGTGAATTTACTTATACACACACAGAGATATAAAGAAAAAACAACTAATCAATGAAAAAGAAAAATGAACTCAAATTTATTTGCAAAGCCCATTTTCAACAAGAGTTAACAATTGAGCTGTTTAATAAATCCCCACACAAAGTTTGCATGCATATAAATAAAGTTAGTTTGGTTTGATTCATAAAAATAACAACGAGAAACATTAGAATTAACTAATTTCATTTAAAATAAAAATATATAAAATCAAGAAAACAAAGACCTGATGCTGCTTTGAGCAAAGTTCTTAAAAATCAGGAACATTAAACACAACTAAAAAGCAATAAGACGTGTTTTAAGCTGCTTTTAAGAGCTTCACTAGAAGGACTGATCTTGACCAAGAATGGAGCGGTGGTCAAAGCTTTGGGATGGATTTCTATTACTGACTAATCTAGAATGTGGAACATCAAAAAGCAGCTGTTCACATCTAGATTCAGAATAAAAACCTGCGAGATTCAGATAAATATTCACATCCTACAAAGCTCTGTAATCAAACAGAAGAACTTAAAGATAATGCTATATATTAATACATCAAGATAATGTTTTTGTCCCAGTTGGAACATACACAGAGGGATTCAGCATTAAAAATATATAGACATTGTAACTCAGCAGCTAACTACTAAGAATCTATGATAATGCTTTAAAAACACCCGCATCAAGGAAACTAGTAAAACAAAACCTCAAACACGAGTAAATCTGGTTCCTTTTCTTGTACCAGTTTAATTTCTGGCTGCAGCCAGAGCAGCGTTCCAAAATAAAGCGACTTACAACGACCTCAACTGAAGGTGATTAATGTCATCGTGGGCTGATTATCAGTTTTCCCTCAGTAGGAAGCAAAGGAAACACTTTAAAACAAGTAAAAAAAAAGACTATTTTTATTTTTATCCAAGAGTGTATTTTATTGATAGTAATAATGATAACCCTATTTATTAAAATTAAATTAAAACGTGTTCCTTTCAAAGAAGGGTTGCTTAAAGAAGAGCTGTTTTACTAGAACGCACTTTTACTTCAAAAGACAACTAAATACACAAGAAACGTCCTTCCAGTTCAATGTTCATTTTCTGAAACTGCACTTAAAAATACATAAACCTTATAATGCAGCATTAGGCCTCATTCCCAGCCAGATGTGACCAAAACATGTCATGAGCCGTGTAGACAAAGAGCCTAACGAGCCTCAGAGTAGTTTTAGTCTAATCTGCAGGTGAGTTTAAAAACACGATGAGGTCTCACAGTTCTATAAAGGTTTGATCTCCAGACAGTTTAGAACTGGTAGAGCCCGGACGGGAAGAGAAACGTCTTCAGCTTCAGAACAGAAGTCCAGTTGTTTTGTTTTTTAACCTTTTTTAAATTACCTGTATCACTGAGTCTTCTCAAGAGTCTGTTAGAGACTGATTCTTAGTCCCAGTCTCATGAATTATTTCATTCATGGTCTAAATACAGATTTTAGAGCTCTTCTTAAAAAAAAAGGTTACCCTCAGAAAAAATGATGTCAGATTTGTACTATTCTAAAGTTCAGACCGTAGAAGAAAAAATCCTGCTGATGTCTAAAGTCATTTTCATGCCCAGAAAACTCCCACTGAGAGGAAATAATCCTACAGTAACAGATGCACCCATTAATCACAAAGTGCAGTTTGTTCTGATGTTAGTTTTATATCCAAAGAGACATTTCTGCTGAGCGGTATTATAGTAAAATAATGAAGTTATCCAGATTTAAACTTTCATGCAAATAGTAAAAGCATGAAATACATTTTCTCCAGTGGTGGTAAACAAATTAAAGTTCACGGTGGTGGGAGATGTTCTACTGAGCTGTGTTGGATTATATTAGCAGATCTGATGCTGTTCTGGATAATTATTTGATGGTTTTTAATGATAAATTCACGAAGAACAGAGAAATGGCTCAATGTTTGTGCTCACGGTCACAAATTGTTCTAAGTTGGAATCGGATGAAAAAAATTGTGTTTGGTGTTTTCATAGATGAATTTTTCTGCATAAATCCCACTGAGCATGAGTGGCACTACTCTGTTTCTGATTGGAGAGTCTGCTTCATTAGACCTAGGCCTGTCACATTAACAAATTTTGCTGGGCGATTAATTGTCTCAGAATTTATTGCGATAAACGATATTGTTTGAAATTTGACAATATTTAGTAATTATTGCCAAATTTAAGAAGAAATGTTGGTTAATTTTTGTGTGTAGTATCTTCTTTGACCACCATATGGCAGTATAAGACTGTTTGAACAGAAGGATGGATAGTGAAGGAGTGAGCAGTGTGTCTCTTTAAGAAAAATGGTGGGAGGCCCCTTGACGTGACATGGGCTGTCTCTCCTTCCTGTTTTTCGGTTCTCAAAATGGCGGACCCTCAGTGTGGTTTGAGCTCTTTAGCATAGCATTTTTCACACAAAGCTTTTAATAAAACCAGTAAACTAGTTCTCAGCTTCTTTTTGCAGAGAAAATCAACTTTGTACACAAATGCACGGGTTTCAGCCGTGAACTTTGGAGCTTTGACAAAACAGAGTTTTTTTCCCGAGGTCAGCCTGTTAGCTTAGCTCGTAGCTTAGCTTCTCAGCTTAGCTGCTTTTAACGATCCAAAAACGCGATTTTAGATGGTTAAAATGGATTTTAAAGAGAAAGGGAGGGGCCAGTGAAGAGCACCGTTGAGTCTTTTGTTCATCCAGTGTCTCAGTAGAAAGAGTCAGAGTTTCTTTATTGTCATTCACACCTCATGTGGTACATGTGGTGGAGCGAAATTATGTACACAGGGTCCCAGTTACATCCAACAATAAAATGTATAAGAAAAACAGAAAGAGAGAGAGACACGAAGAAACGATAAAGCCGATAAATAAAAATGAGGTCGATCATTTTAATTTATCATGCGATTAATTGATTTATTGTTTATTGCGATAGGCATAATTAGACCCCCATCACGGTTACCCCAGTAAACCCACCACCTGCCACCCCCATACACACAAACTCAAGGGTCCAGATTATAATCTGTTAGACGTTCCTGTTGCTGCTTCAGTGAAAATGTTTCTTCATTCCTTCCTAGGTGGCCTTGGTGGCCGTCCCAGCGGTGCTGGGTCTAGCCTCCGTCCGTGTGTACACTGTGAGCGAAGCGCCTCCTGGTGGGCTGGTGTCTCGAGATGGGGTACGTCTGTCCCGCAGCATCAGCAGAGGTGGTAGGACAGGGTTCGTTTAATTTATTCATCCTGTCTCTGCCTCTGTCCACAGCTGAACATCTATGCACCGCTGCCAGAGGCTGCTCGGGCTCCGTTTCTTCCTGAGAGTCCGGGAGTTGTCGAAAGAGGCTTGACTACAGCCAGAGAGGGGGTCCTACCGTTACTCCAGGCTGTCAAGGTATTTAAACGAGTTAATATGGCGCAGAGCTTCATGTATACTTGGAATGAATAAAAATACCAAGAGCTGAGAAACGAGCGAGGGCTCTTGACGTGCACCTGCAGCTTGTTACTCGAGCCTTGATTTTTGCTCCTCTGCGGTTACCGAGCACAATCCCACGAGCTGCGAGTGCAGGCGCAGGCGCAGCGCTGCACAGCACTTCAGGAGTTTGACAGGAAGTAGTGTTGTTGCAGGGAGGTTCACAGCTGTGATGTTTACAGCAGAGAGATCTGACGGTTTGATGGTGTGAACGAGAAGGGGAAAACTAACACAACTATGATGCATCAGTATTGGTGATAATCGTTTGAAGTGGTTTCAGGGCTGTTCTTTGTTCCATGCAGGGTGCCTGTGTCTCAGTAAAAAGGGGAAGTTTTAATCTTTACCATGCAGGAGAGGGTAAGTTAAGAGGAGGCACAGTTCCAGGCTGTGCTAAATACATTTCTACATTTATTTACTCCTTGCTAACTAACTGTAGCAGAGTTTAGTAAACAGAGGAACGCACTCTGCTAAAAACTGGGAAAATGAAAAGGATATGTGTCAGAATGTTGACTCTGCTCCCTTCTTGTTTTTTCTAGATGCATATTATTATTTATTAGACCCGCCCCCAGGGTTTCTACCCAGATTTGGTACCATCACCATGGCTGGCCTGCTGGGCATGTTCTTGGCACGACGAGGTAACCAGCTGCCCAGATGCTGTACCACTGTAACACTGCTTTAGTGTGTGTGTGTGTGTGTGTGTGTGTGTGTGTGTGTGCGTCAAAATATCTCAAGAACCATAGATTTTAATGAGCTCTGAAAGTAATTGCTGGATTTATTACTGATTAACTTTTGGGGTCAGCCCAGTTCTAGATTTATACCACATCTAACTAACCTTGAGAAACACACAACTCTGTAATTTAGTTAATTTTACAAATTTTGAGCTGAAATTTGATCTGGTAGAAACTGGGAATCATCATTGTTGTCATCATTCTTTGTTGAAATCAGGTCTCTCTTGTAAATGAGTCCTCAAGGCTCAATGGGACTAACCTGTCTAAATAAAGGTTGAATGAATTAATGAAAATAGTTCAAGAGCTACTAAATTACAGTACTGTACAATATATATAATATGTACGTGTGAATGAATGGGAGTGTGTCAGGTGGAACATTGAGACTACGAGGAGCAGAGGTCACAAAGATGCAGGACTTCAAGAGGTTCTCCTTCAGAGTAACAAGGATGGATAAGATTAGGAATGAGATCATCATAGGTACAGCACAGGTTGAACAACTGGAAGATAAAGTTAGAGAGACCAGACTGAGATGGTTTGGACATGTCCAGAGGAGGGACAGTGGGTATACTGGTAGAAGGATGTTAGAAATGCTGCTGCCAGGAAAAAGACAGAGGAGATATATGGACGCAGTTAGAGAGAACATGGAGGTAGATGGAGTGAGGACAGAGGATGCAGAGATGGAGGAGGATGACTCACTGTGTTGACCCCTGAAGAGGAAACAGCCAAAAGAAGAAGAAGAAAATATATATAATACAAGCGCAATGTCTTTGTTTAAAACTTGGCATTACAGTTGGCACCAACTGTGTCAATTAATTAGCAAAATATCTCATGAACTGCAGCATAGTTGTGGCCTTGACATCACATGCCATGAAGTTGCTGGAGAGGCTGGTCCTGAAACATGTCAGATCAGTGGTGGAAACATACCTGGACCCCCTACAGTTTGCATACCAGCCACACATTGGAGTTGATGACGCCATCATCTACCTGCTGCACAGAGTCTGCACACACCTGGACAGGGCAGGCAGCACTGTAAGAATCATGTTCTTTGACTTTTCCAGTGGTTTTAACACCATAAGACCTGCTCTGCAGTAAGTTTCTGGACATGCAGGTGAACGACTCGCTGGTCACCTGGATCAGAGTCTAACTCACAGGTCGGCCACAGTATGTGAGGCTGCAGAACTCCACCTCAGGCATCATACTGAGCAGCACAGGAGCTCCTCGGGGAACGGTCCTCTCACCGTTTCTGTTCACACTCTCCACCTCGCTCTTCAGGTACAACTCACAATCCTGCCATCTGCAGAAGTTCTGGATGACTCTGTCATTGTGGGCTGCATCACTGGTGACCAGGAACTGAATACAGAGGTGTGGTGGACAGAACCACCTGCAGCTCATTGTTGGAAAAACTAAAGAGCTGCAGGTGGATACAGGAAGAAGATCAGCCCCCCCCCCCCCCCCCCAAATCCTATCAACATCAAGGATACTAAGGTGGACACTTTGGACTGCTACAAGTACCTGGGGGTCCACCTAGTCAATAAACTGGACTGGACAGGTAACACCAACACCCTCTACGAGAAAAGGGCAGAGTCGCCTTTTTCTTCTGAGGAGACTCAGGTCCTTTAACGTCTGCAAGACCATGCTGCAGATGTTTTACCACTAACGCTGTGGTGTGCTGGAGCAGCAGGGTGAAGAAAGCTGATGCCAACAGACTTGATAAACTCATCAGGAGAGCTGGTTCAGTTCTCCCCCTTTCTGTACTTCGAACAATAACATTAATCCTGTATTACAATAAACTCTTTCTGCACCTGTTTTAGAACTTAATTGTTGTTATTTTTATATTCTCTGTTATTTTTTTATATCTTGTGTGATTCATTGTTTGTTTCTTTGTACTGAAACTCTGGCACAACAATTTCCCGCGGGATCAAAAAAGTTCTATCTTATAGATTTTAATGAGAGATCAACTGATGTTTCATATATATATATATATATATATATATATATATATATATATATATATATATATATATACTCATTGTGGTAGTAGCTGAGACATTCTCAACAGATTCTACGTGTGGTGTCTCATGACAGTGCACATAATGGTAATTTCAAGGTTTTTACCAAAACAGCTTTAACTCTGTTGTTTCTCAGCATAGGTCTGACATGAAAGGTGATGGATGATATACATTCCTGGAACGTTAGGTTTAAAATTAAAATGTGAAATAATGAAAATAAATGATGAAACATTTTTGAAATAGAATCTTTCTTTAAGCTGCATTGTTTTTTAAACTCTAAACGCTCTAAAAGAGCACAAAACGTCACGATCTCTGCCACTCTGCATTCACACTCATCACCTCCCAATCTCCCTCCTTCTGTGTAAATAAACAATTAAAATACTGTAATATTTTAAATAAACAATTGTTTATTTAAAATATTACAATATTTAAATTTAAATTGTAGAGAAGAGAAGCTTAGCAGGACAGCAAAGGGTTAACGCTTCACAAAGCTGCTGCAGCAGGAGAAATGTGGGCGTGGCAGACAGCCGCAGGTGGCAGAGAAGGAGATCATGACAGGCTGCAGGAGGGAGCTTCCACCTACACCTAATGATTTAGCAGGTGCTAAATTATATAAATTATTTTAAATAAACAATCTGTGCCGATAGTGCGGCTCATCCACCAATCATCCAACTGTGTGTCGTGTCCAGTCTTACTTTGAAAAACTGCAAAAAAGTCAGCGAAAGTCGAACCGCGAAGTAACGAGGGACTACTGTATCCTGATGCATGCTCAATAATCCAGGTAGAAAAAGAGGGACTACTGTATTTCGTAGGGTTGGTCAAACCTTTGGTTGCGCTAATGCACATCATTAGAATCCGTCTGGTGTTTCATGAGATATTTTGCTGACAGAAGCCACACAAAGGCAAAAGCATTGTTAGCCTGTGTGATAAAAATGTCCCTATGTTTGTCTCCAAGTCGAGGTTTTATCCCATTGTTTTACTCCTGTTCTGATTTCCTGACGTTGCTCTCCTTTGAAAACTATTCCCCTCATTTGTGTGACCCGTTATTTAAATAAACTTGTGATCGGAAGAGAGCACAATCACTGAGATCACATGAAGCTTTTATAAAACTGTGTTTTAGGCTCTCGATTCAAGAGGTTTGTTGTTCCTCTGAGTCTGATGAGTGCCGGAGCGTCTGTTTGCTACCCAGCTCAAGCAGTGGCCGTGCTTAAGGTAACAATTCAATTTAATACCATTTATTAAGGTGGCACTAGTTTTTTTATGCTGTGATCTCGTTAATGTTAGTTGGGGCTGATTTCACACTTCTGTCCTGTGTTTTGTGCTGTGAAGGTGACAGGAAAGAATGTGTACGCTGCAGGACAGTGGAGCCATGCTACAGCATCCTCTCTGCTCTCCACCATGAAGGCCACTGCCAAACAGACACAGGTTGGAAACAATGTCGTTTACTTTATGATAATAATCTGCAGATTTATGCAGCAGGTTTTAAAACAACGCTTTTATACATTTTTATCCTTTGTGACTAAAACAAAAACACATTCAGTTTCTGACATGTCAACTTGTTCCCCACTTACAGATTTCCTCTTTTTGTTATTACTCACTTGAAAAATACCCTTTTGTGTCTTCACCATCTGTGGTTGCACTTTGCCCTTTGACGATCCTTGTATGTTGATAGAATCATTTCTTAGTGTTTAATGTCACTAAAGTACACACATACACATACTCAGCTATAACACAGGTGCATGTTTCAGTTGATAGAACGTATTGCCTTAAAAACGTATTAAGCCTTTTCAGCACTTTTTCCACAGTTGCAGTTGTAAAAATGTGTCGGGTCTCACACATCGACCTGCCCATTTTTCTGGACAAAGCCGTTGTAGATCCTTTCATGGGGGCTGAGATGGTGTAGAGGCAGGGCAGCCAACTCTGAACACGAAAGTCCCAGGTTCGATCCCCAGTCATTGCACATCTCGTGGTGTCTCTGATCAGGACACCTTATCCCCATATGCCCCCCAGGCGCGTTCAATAGCTGCCCACTGCTCCACCTGGTGGTGGATGGGTTAAATGCAGAGAGCTAATTTCGCCATTGTATGGAAACATACAATGATAACAACCCATTACATTAAACTGGTTGGGTTCTGCTGTTATTCACCCGTATTTAAATGAGAGACATCAGGTCCTTTGTCTGATTTTTAAACATTTTGTCACAACCCATTTAAGTTTTGTATTATCTGAATATTTTGTGTTCTGAAAGGTAAACTTGCATTCAACCCAAGTTTTCTGGAATATGTAAACAAGTTTTAATTAATCACACACACCTGTTTGTAGCACCAACCTTCAATACTCCAGTTCTCATTTCCCAGTTTGGTTGACTTCTACGATAAATCAACTTTTTTGCTTAACTTAACCAGCTGACCTTAGTAATCACAAAAATGTCCATAACAGACAGTTTTACAGGTATCAAGCACAACACAATGTGTAACATCTTTGTTTAAAACCTGAGGACAGTGTCACCTGTTGGCATCAACTCTGCTTGCAAAATAATTCATGAAGCACTGGATGGATTTCAATGAAACTTTGAGACTCAGTCCAATTTAAAACTACTCCTAACATCAACAGCAAAACTGGTTGATCCACCCTGAGACGGTGCTATTTAAGAGACTGAGCTGAATACAGCTCCTCAGACTGAGGAAGTCTCTCGGATGAGAGACGAAACGTTTCTACATTTTTTTGTTGATTTGCTTTGTTTTGTTGAATGTCCAGAGGACCAGATTTAACTTTTTTAGATACTCCTAACATCATGATCACATCCTCTGTCCCCTGCCACGCTCACAGTTGTCCGTGTCCTGACACTCTGCCGTTCTCACTCTGCATTTCAGGTCATCAGCCCCGATTCACTGCACCTGTTAGCTGCACTATTTAACAGCTCCATTCTCACTAGTTCTCTGCCAGATTATTTTACCTTTCGTGGTTTATGATATCCAGCCATCTCGTTCCTGTTCACGTTCATGCCTGACTCTCAAGCCTTGTTCTTTTGGATTCGACTTCACGCCTTGTCTTTGGGATTTAGCGCTCTGCCTGCCGCTCGTCTGTTTCTGCTCTGCTCAGCTGAACCTGGTTTTGACTACCGGTACTTGTTCTGCCTACTGATTCTCTGGGTTACGGTTTGACCCTTTGGACTTGTTATTGGAACTCTGACTCCCCGTGTATGACTCCCACCTCTACGCCTGGACCTTGTCTCTGATCATGTTTGTCACAGCTCTGATCTTCAGCTGCGCTGCACCTTGACATCATCCTGCCCAGCTCCAACAGGTGGCCCCCACCTCTGACAGGTGGCTCTTTCCCTCCTGCCTGTGAGGACCTGTCACCGCAGCTGGATCCTGACTCCCTCCAGCAGCTAATATCAATATTGTCTGGCTGGTTCTGAAACCTAAAACCCTGACTGACACCTAATCAACCTTAGATTACACAGAAATGTGTAAGATGAGTGAATTTTACAGATACTGCTTGTGGTGGTAGTATTCAGATATTCACAGCACATACTCCTACTCCTAACTGCTCCTGCAGGATATCACTGTATTGCAGGAGATTGTGTTCAATGGTATTTTTAATTTCTACTCAAAAGATGTACTTGGTTTACAACTCTGGCTTTAAAGGCAGTGAGTGATATGCATTTCTTCAAGGAAAGCTAAGTCTTTAATTTTCCTAAAGATTTTTCTATACAGACTGTAACACTGCATAGACTACTTAATTATAAAAAAAAATAGTTTGTAATTCCACCAAAAAGAAATTACATTTTGTGGGTGGGTTGTTTTTCAGTGCAGATACTCTGTCCACTATATGCAATAGAAAATCAGTCCCTAACAGTGCAGATAAAATTGTTTGTTTTCTCTGATTTACATGCTAGTCTACTGCAGCATCGAGTCCAGGCTCTTCGGCTCAGAGCTTTACGGTCCCGGAGAACCAAGGGGAATCAGCCGAGTCTGTTTCTGATGAGATGTTTGTCGGCGTCACCGCAGAGGAGGAGTCAGCATCACTGACAGAAATATCTGCCATCCAGGCCTCGACAGAGACTGGCTCAGGTAGTATAATTATGGATCTCTGTCTCCTCTCGCGTCCATCTCCATCATTCTGTGGTGCTCAGTCACAGAAAACAACTTTTGCTGCCAATGATTGCAATATTTCCTCCCTGCCTAGGTTCTTTTGGCGAGTCAATTCCTGTCCAAGCAGAAGATCCTTCTTTATCCAAGGAGGTGGTTTCTGTTGGAACCAAGGAAGGCTCAGATAGAAAACAAGCAGCAGACGATGGTTCTGACACAAGGACAGCTGAACATATGTCAGACCTAGAACTGGAGACTGTTCCAGGTGAGTCTTCTTTAGCCAGCTATGTGATGTAATGAAGTCATATTATTTATTGGGGTCTCCAGTATGCCTGATGTGGACGAAATATTGTTTCTTACGTGTCAAAATGCATCACGAAGGACCCCACTCCCAGCACTCACACTTTTCCCCCCGCTCCCCTCAGGCAGAAGGTTGAGGAGCATAAACCCTCCTGTTGTCCTCATTTTCTGTACCCTGTGTCCTCCGGGTCAAAATGACCCCTCTTCACTAAACCCCCAATATAAACAGCTTAATTGAATTTTAAACACCAAATTTCATCTTGCATATTGTCATTCACCACAAAATGTGTGAATACCTGAGTTTTTCCTCTTCACTTGAATTTCTATAGCTTAAGAAAAGGGGGAAAAAAAATGTGCAAAAAGGAGTTTTGAATGCATTTTTATTCACCCCAATGACTCAGTTTCTTTTTTTTTCTCCAGTGAACAATTTAAGACAATGTACAATACAAAAATATGAAAAATAACATAACCCATTCAACTAATTAGCACATGTAGGGCAGTATGCAAGTGCACAGCCTTTGCAGATATATTTCTTACACCTGCAGCACACAGTATGTGTTTTACAGTCCTTCTTTTGAGGGTAGAACTGACATCTCTTCCTCTTACTTGCCCTAGCTGGGGAAGTGGCTGTGGTAGCTGGATCCTCAGGTTGATTAGGAGCTCCTGCACTCTTAATAGCTTTCACAACTGCTGCTGAGGCTTCTGTGTGGGGGACATGCTTCCTTCTTTCAATGAGTGGAGTTACAAGTGCCTTTCCTAGCTGCTCCAGGAACACCCTCCTCTTGTTCTGCTTACGAGACATCCAGGTCGGGTTGATCTCTCTCCAAATCACAAAGGCATTGTAGGAGGAAACCTCAATGATGTTGTGGAAGATGACCAGGGGCCAGCGGGCAGTCATTCTTCTGCAGCTATATGTTCCAATCACCTTATCTAGGTGTCCACACCTCCTTTTTGCAGTTGTAGTCTAGGATGATGATTGGCTTCCTGTCCTCACGATCGCTAATGTCACTGTCTGTGTGCAGTGTGCTCAGAAGAACTACATTCTTGTTTTTCTTTGGGAGGTAGGAAACTAGAGTGGTGGTGGGCGTGAAGGCAAACTTTGAGGAGAAGACCTCTCTCTCCTTTGACGCAAGCAGTGCAGGTGGGAGCTCAGGCTTGTTCTTTCGAACTGTACCAACCATGGTGATCTTCCTCTTCAGGAGCTGCTTTCCAAGTTCATAAGAGGTGAAGAAATTGTCACTTGTGACCCCTCAGTACCTCTGTCACATCAAGCACAACTCACATCCCCTGGTTCTTCTCTGGGCATCCACTGGTCGGCTTCCCAGTATAGACGTGCATTTTCCAAGCATAGCTTGATTTGGCATCGCAAGCCACCCATGACTTGATCCCATATTTTGCTGGCTTGCTGGGCATATACTGCCGGAAAGGACAACGACCTTTGGACAAAAGATATTAGCACCAATGATTAGTGTCAGTGTCACAGAAAACAGTCAAAGAAATCTATAGTGAAAATCACTTTTATTACAAATATGAAAACAGATTACCTCTAAATGGAACCAGTTGCTCATCCACTGTTATGTCAGGCCCTGGATTGTAGAGGTAGGGCAGCCGCTCCACCCACTTGTCCCATACTTCTCTTATGGCTGCAAGTTTGTCTGTAACACGTCTTGCTGGTCTTGACTCACAGTCATCAAATCGTAGCAGTCTTGAGTAGGTGTGAAAGAGTTTGAGTGGCATTGTGGCTCGGAAAATTGGCCTTCCACTCGCTACATCCCATAGACTAGCTGCAGCCTCACCTCGGGACCTGTATACACCTGCTAAGATTAGCAGCCCTAAGTAGGCCTGCAGGTCAATCTCATCCATCTTTTTCCAGCTGTCTCCATATTTGCGAAAACCCTCCAGATTTGTCATCTCCTGGATTATTTTTTCTATTGCTGGTGTGATAAACAGGTAGAATGTAGAGACAATGTCATGGGCATGAGAAACTGCATACCTTGTGGGTCCTGGGGTCATCTTTATGACGTTTTGTTCTGCATGTCTGCCATGTTGGTCATATTTTGCTGAGGACCATGTTATTTTGCCATTTTTTGAAAGGAAAGTCTCTCTTTCAGCTTCAGGGTTTTCTTCTTCTGAAGATGAGTCATCATGCTCTGGGTTGTGTTCCTCCCCATCTTCTTCTTCGTATACATCCTCCACTTCCTCTTCTGAATTAGAGTTGTCGTGCGGGACATCTGAGAAAATCAGATTTACAGCCTCTTCAACGTTATAACGCACACTCATGACTTCAGCACAGACAGAATTTGGGGTCCTGTTATCTGCAGCACCTTTATAACCTCTGGAAATAAACAGGTGGTTTTCTGAAGTCTGCGAGAACACCACCTGATTTGCCTTGTTTCCTTCTGCTACTGATTGATCTGAGACACAACTAAAACATTGTAACATTCTGTGGTTTGTAAACAACTCTGTGACCTTGATTTCAACTCTATTTGCCTCACGGGTCATTTTGACCCGAAGACCACCTTTGTACCTTTTTTTGTACAGCTTACATGGAAATATGAGTAAAAGACTGCGGTAAAGTGAGCCTCCACTCGGCTTCGGCAGTAAAAGAACCAACATATCACTTTTTCTACTGTTGGGGCCAATTTAGGAAAAGTCATAAAATTTCAAGTAAAAAAAAAAAAGCATTTAGTGGATTTTTTTTGGGGGGGGGGTTTAACACAGTGGCGGATCATTTTGACCCGAGGACAACAGGAGGGCTAAGTGCAGAAGCACTAGGCTGAGGAACAGCTTCTACCCTGAAGCTGTTAGACTCATGAATCCCTATTCAGGATTTATCACTTTAAAAATCACAGTGAAAAAAAAAACACTGTGAAAAAGTAATTGTGAAAAAAATCACTGTAATGCCACTTGGTTGTTGATATGAGCTGCTGACTAATTTCATGCTGCTGATTTATGTCATGCTGCTGATTTATTTCATGTTGCTGTGTTCATTCGTCCTCACCTGCTCACAGACTCATGTTCGTGCTGCTGTTGTTTGGCACATTGTTTTGTACTGTTAGTGCTTAGTGTAGTCTTAGTTTAGCGTATTTCTTAGTTCATATCTTGGATCTTATTTTGCCCCTTTCGCACCGCCCCTAATTAGCCCCACTTCTGGGCAGCCCTCCACAGAAAGAACCCTTTTGCACCAGTACTTCAGCTAGTATTTTTAGCTGATTTGAGGCTGATTCAGGACCTCTTTTCGTCCCTGCTTCTCTGGTGGGACCGAGCGAGCTCAGTTGAGCTGAGTCGGGACCGAAACATGAATGCAGGACTCTGATTGGTCAGGGGGAGGAGTCACTGGATCTCAAAAACTTTTCACTGATCTGCCATTTGCAATTTCTCTGGATGCGGAGCAGCGGCTGGATCCATTTTTAAGAGTTTAAAAACAATAATGACAACGCCGTGTTTAATTCTGAAGTCCAGGTGTTTGTTGTGTTTGGTGACCGATGACAAAATTCGAGCAAGTGGTGTCACTGCAGAGGATCATACGAGCTGCCGACCTGTTGAAGCACGCGAGGCCGGACCCCGAGCCCCGGCCTCGCCTGCTCACAAAGGCCGGATTCGAGCCCTGGCAGGCGGGAGGACCGGGATGGAGGGACGGAGGGTGGAAACGTTTTTTTTAAACATGTTATGTATAAAAAATAAGTTTTTTTTAATCAGTGAAGATTAAAAATAAATAAACGGTGCCGGCTTTATCATGAAATCTTGTTTTCCCTTTGACTTTATTAAATAATTTGTTAATTAAAGTTAATTCAACTGAAAAATCATAAAAATGCTAAATTATTGGATCTCTCAGGAATATTTCCCTCAAACGTGTTTAAAGAAGAGACACAGACTTTGGCTCAACTTTATTCTAACCCACAGATGTACAAATCACAAAACAAGCATTACACTTTAAATTAAAGCTTTAAATCAAAGCTAAGCTTTAATTCAAAGCTAAAAATAATCTGTATACAAGAAACAAAAGCACAATGAGTGCAAATACATCAAACGATGAAGAAAAATATAGAATTTTAAATATAGATATCCTGATGCATGCTCAATAATCCAGGTAGAAAAATCTAATAAAGTTAAATCAGGTCCTCTGGACATTCAAAAAAACAAAAATGTAGAAACGTTTCTTCTTTCATCCAAAAGACTTCTTCAGTCTGAGGAGTTGTATTCAGCTCAGTCTTATATAAATAGCCATTTATGAGCTGAATACAGCTCCTCAGACTGAAGAAGTCTTTTGGATGAAAGAAGAAACGTTTCTACATTTTTGTTTTTGTTTGTTTGTTTTGTTTTTTGAATGTCCAGAGGACCAGACTTAATTTTTTAGATTTAAATATAGATGCTTTTGTAGAATCTGGTTCATCAGATTTAATTCAGTTCAGTTTATTTATACAGCACCAAGTCACAACAGAAGTCGTCTCAGGTCAGGGCACTGATCAGAAACATTCCTATATAAAAACAATAATTTAATATTATTTATCTGAGGAGCAGACTGCTTTGAGTAACTCATCGCAGAACTCTCATTAGCAGGACTTGGATTCTGGACACGCCTCCAGAATCAGTCCTAAAGTGCAGGTGCAAAGCCATGCTGAGCTGAGCCATGCTGAGCAGAGCCAGGCTGAGCAGAGTTGGGGCTGATTAGGGGCAGTGCAAATGAGGCATTACTGTTTTTCTTTACAATTTGTATTTTTGTTGGATGTAACTGGGACCCTGTGCACATAGTTTCGTTCCACCTCATGTACCACATGTGGTGTGAACGACACCTTGACCTTGATCTTGAAAAAGCAGATGTTTTGGTAAAAATGACTATATATTTTTGTATGTGACTTGTTTCTTTTGTCTCTTGAGCAGGGCTTCTCAAACTTTTTGGATTCAAGGACCTCTTACAGGGGAGAAAAAGTTTCCCTCATAACCCTCATGTTTATTAAATAACTTTCTTCAATTTGTCTTTATAATGTAAGGGAAATATTTGTGTAACATAAATACTTAAGACCTGTTCTTTAATAGTGTTAATACAATTTTTATACTTTTAAACATGGGGTATTTTTCATTCAAGACTCACTTAACAAAATGTTTAATTTCAACTTCCAAAAATTAGTTTTGAGAAAATTAACAGAATCAAAAACCACTTTAAAACTTTATATAAATGTATCGCCACGTCTTCAAATTATTACAGAAAACTCTTTACATAAAACTGAACAGAATCATAGCAGCAGTCTGACCAAGTATCAGGGTTTAATTTGTAAACTGATCGATGCCGGAGTGCAAATAGTGGAGGGTGGGGGGTGGGGGGGGTGCGGGGGCTCTGTGGTTCCTCCCCCAGAAGATATTGAATAAATTTCCTGCATTTTAGTGTATTTTAACGGGTTGTTAAACATCTAAGTGTGATAAAAAATATATTATTATTTTATTTTATTTTATTTTTGCGGACCTCCAAGCACCGGCTCGTGGACCCCAGTTTGAGAACCACTGCTTTAGATGACATATTTCCTCTTAAAACAAAACAAACATGTTTTTATGCTGCTCACGCAAATATAATAAAACCAATAAATGTAAGGTAATGTTGGTATATGTTTTGTTTTCATGCTACACAGGACCAGTTGTTGAATCAGCTGAACCTGCAGCTGAACTTGAGTCAGCCCCTGCTGTGGGGGCGACACCGACCCTCACCCCAACTCCTCTTCCTCAGCAGCCCACTGCAGAAAACAGCAATGGTACTGTGCCTCTCCAATTGTTTAATGTGTGGAAGATAATACTCGGGCGCTCAGTGCAAACGTAATCAAATTTATGAATTATTGTTATGACAAAACTTTTCCTTCTTTCATCACAACTTTTTGCCTTTGAGTGAAAATAATCAGATGCATTTAAAACTGCTGATCCAACGTTCATCGTTTGGACTGATCACGCACGGTTCACGTACACGTTCAGAGGAAACGTATGCAGTTCTGAGTGATGATACAAATCAACACCCACTGTCTCAAATACTTGCTGACTTGTATTTTACGATGGAAGAACATCTGACAGGATGTTGTGGCTTTCTTCTGCTGTATTCAGCTCTCAAGTTATTCGGTCTTTTAAATGCATCCTGCAGGTTCTTCTAACATTTTATTACTCTTATTTCAGCGCTTGTGAATGATAGTGTCTTTTTTTTTATGTGTCCCTCCAGAGAGCTCTGCTTTCAAGCCAGACCCTGCCCTCTTGGACTTTGGCCAGTCCAGTCCCGAGGATGAAGACCTGTACAGCACTCGCAGCTGAGCGACCACCACCAGCCGCAGAAGAAACCACATCCCCATCTTGCTATTTCATATCTGATCAAAATGACAAACGCTGCATCGTTATGTAAACAAGCAGTCTCCGAAACGCTTTAATCAACATTTCCATTCTCATTCCATCTGCCCACAGTGCTTACATTTCCTCAAAGACATCCAGTACAACAGCACTGTAGCAGCAGTCAGATGAACTCCGTTATGCATACATGGATCTGTATAAAAAGTAAAAGCTGGGGAAAGGAACATTCTCAGATATGTTGAAATGAGAAATGGCAGATTGTGGAACAGTTTGTGTTTGTATAAAATTAACAGTTTCTGGCTATTGTGCTAAATCTTCCAAAAAAACAAAAAAAAGATTGCTTGGTGCTATTTATTATAATCTAGCCCAGGTTGTGGGAAAACTACAGTGCCTGTAAACAATATTCACCCCCTGGATGTTTTGTACTTTTATAGCCATCATACATCAATCATGGTGAAAACAAATGAACCTTCTTCACACAACAAACAAAAGTCAATGCTCATGTAAAATCACATTTCAACAAAGTCATTCTTCCATTATGTTTACCCACTTCTTCCTTTTTGGGTCACTGCGAGAAGCGGGGTTCACCCTGGAAAGGTCGCAAGTCCATCACGGGGACACAAAATAATAATAATTTAAAAAATGAATAAATACATATATATATATATACACATATATATGTATGCATATATATATATATATATACATATATTTACATATACATATGTATACATATGCATATATAAATAAATAAAATGTAAAATAAGTGTTTGCTTCAATATTCCCTCCCTTTAAAGTGATTAGCCTAAATCAACTCAGAGAAAATATTAAAATGTTAAGACATCTGTGAGCGCTGAGGTAGTTACAAGCTTCAGCAGGTGAGATGGGAGAGACTGTGCATATATCAACTGTTGCCTAAGTTCTTCACTAGTCTGTTGAAGAACATTTTGATTTGAGTTTCCAAATAATGTAAACAAACTTGTCGAGATTTAATGAGTTTTCTTCAACACTGGCTTTTTCTTTTCTGCTTTTCCATAAATCCTTGGACTGGTGAAGAACCAGGGCAACACTTATGTGCAGTCTCTCCCACCTCGCTTGATGAGACTTGTAACTCCCTCAGAGTGCTCACAGGTGTCTTAGTAGTCTCTCGTTACTCTTCTTGCATGGGCACTCAGCTTGTAAGGACAACCTGTTCTTGGTAGATTTACATTTTTACATACATAGATTTACATCTTCCATTTCCATCCAAAGGTGTGAATCCTTTCTATAGGCACAGTAAACGTTCTGCACATGTGCTGACGATGACGTGGACTTGTTCTGCTTCACATTGTTCTGTCAGTCAATGTCTTCACTTGTTGATTAAGGAACTCAAAATAAAGATATATTTTTCTTGTCTTAAAGGCTGTTCTTTTCAACTATTAAATTCATCTTACAACATGACCAAAGCTATTTACCTTTAACAGATTACTGAGAACAGCAGAGTCCCTGTACGCATTAAAACTCAGTTAATGATTAATTCAACCATGGCTCAGTTGTTTTGATATAAACTCATTGTGCTTTTATTTTATCAAATTAGCCACTTCTGTGTCCGGAGAGGATTTGATTTATTTATTAGACTGCAGCACAAACTTTAATATAATTTCACGGAGACAATCCTGTCCATGGAAATGAGGGGTCACATTCAGGTGTTTTGGCATGGTGCAGGTTTGGTGAATTACTAAATTGAATTACTTAAGACCAATTAAAAAAAAAAAAAGAATTTTAGAAATGTTGGCCAACTGAAAAGTATGAACATGAAAAGTATGAGCATGTACAGCATCAATACTTAGTTGTTGCTCCTTTTTGTCTGGATTACTACAACAATTCATTGTGGCATGGAGTCGATCAGTCTGTGTCACTGCTCAGGTGTTATGAGAGCCCAGGTTGATCTGATAGTGGCCTTCAGCTCTTCTGAATTGTTGGGTCTGGTGTATCACATCTTCCTCTTCACAATACCCCATAGATTTTCTATGGGGGTAAGATCTGGTGAGTTTGCTGGCCAATTAAGAACAGGGATACCATGGTCCTTAAACCAGGTACTGGTAGCTTTGGCACTGTGTGCAGGTGCCAAGTCCTGTTGGAAAATGAAATCTATATCTCCATAAAGTTGGTCAGCAGCAGGAAGCATGAAGTCTCTAAAACTTCCTGGTAGACAGCTGTGTTGATCTTGGACCTCAGAAAACACAGTGGACCAACACCAGCAGACGACATGGCACCCTAAACCATCACTGACTGTGGAAACTAGACACTGGACCTCAAGCAACGCGGATTCTGTGCCTCTCCTCTCTTCCTTGGGGCGGCTGTGGCTGAGTGGTTAGAGCAGACGTCCTCCAATGCAAGAGTTGGGGGTTTGAATCCACCAGCAGTCACATGCTGAAGTGTCCCTGGGCAAGACACTGAACCCCTCATAGCCTCTGATGTGTGTCCCATCAGTGTATGAATGTGATAAAGCTCTGATTAGTCTCTTTAGAATGATTTGTTCAATTAGCTTTGTAGAGATCTAGTAGAGTGCTGTATGAATGGGTAAATGAGGCACAGATTGTGTTGTAAAGAGCTTTGAGTATCTTGAAATATGATAGAAAAGCGCTATATAAGTACAGTCCATTTCCTCCAGGCTCTGGGACCTTGATTTCCAAAGGAAATGCAAAATTTACTTTCATCAGAGAACATAACTTTGGACCACTCAACAGCAGTCCAGTCCTTTTTGTCTTTTGCCCAGGCAAGACACTTCCGACACCGTCTCTACTAGTGCTTTGCATATTTTTGGTTTAACGTTTTTCTTAGTTCATATCTTTGATCTTATGTTTTCCTTTTACATTTTATACTTTTGTTGGATGTAACTGCACACAATTTCGTTCCACCACATGTAGCACATGTGCGTATGACAAAGAAACTTTGACTCTTGTTCAAGAGTGGCTTGACACAACAAATGTGACAGCTGAAACCCATGTCTTGCATACATCTGTGTGTGGTGGTTCTTGAAGCACTGACTCCTGCTGCAGTCCACTCTTTGTGAATCTCCCCCACATTTTTGGGTTTTGTTTCACAATCCTCTCCAGGGTGCAGTTTTCCCTATTGTTTGTAAACTTTTTCTACCTCACCTTTTCCTTCCCTTCACCTCTCTATTAATGTGCTTGGACACAGAGCTCTGTGAACAGCCAGCCTCTTTAGCAATGACCTTTTGTGTCTTGCCCTCCTTGTGCAAGGTGTCAATGGTCATCCTTTGGACAACTGTCAAGTCAGCAGTCTTCCACATGATTGTGTAGCCTACAGAACTGGACTGAGACCATTTAAAGGCCTTTGCAAGTGTTTTGAGTTAATTATCTGATTAGAGTGTGACACCAGGTGTCTTCAATATTGAACCTTTTCACAACATTCTAATTTTCTGAGATACTGAATTTAGGGTTTTCATTACTTGTCAGTTATAATAATCAACATTAAAATACATAAACATTTGAAATATATCAGTCTGTGTGTAATGAATGAATATAATATATAAGTTTCACTTTTTGAATGGAATTACTGAAATAAATCTACTTTTTCATGATATTCTAATTTTATGACCAGCACCTGTATAAAGTGAAAGACTCAATGAATCACGTGTGTCAAACTCAAGGCCCGGGGGCCAAATGTGGCCATCATGGACATCTTATCTGGCCCCTAAGATGATATATTAAACATAAAATGCTTTCACCACATGATTTTTTTCAGTAATCTTTGATTATGATGTCAAAAGTGCAACAGAGCGTCAAATGAGAACAATTAACCTTTTTGTCGAGGAACCTGCAACTAAAAAAAAATGTTGAGTATCTAACTTGAGTTAATGTAGATTCTGAAACTGGCCCTTAGTTCCAAAAATGTTTTAATTTTGGCCCCCTTGTGTAAGTGAGTTTGACACCCCTGTGAATTATTGATATTGTATAAATCACTGATCATTCCCTATTTGATCTATTGTGTAGAAGTTTGGGGAAATGCCTGTAAATCATATACAAATTCTACTTTTATCTAGCAAAAAAAGAGCTGTTAAAATTATAAGTGGAAAATGCTACAGAGATCCAACAAATCCATTGTTCTGTAATTTAACATTAACGAAATTTCACAACTTGGTGGACTATTATATTTTGCAAGTTATGTTTAAAATACATAACAGTATGTGCAGTACATTTGCAAAAAAGATGTATTAAAAAAAGACAGCATTTATAGTTTGAAAGGATCAGAAATTAAGAAAAAACAACAACAAAGTCAGATCTAAACAAATGGAACATCGTATTTCTGTTTGTGGAACAAATCTGTGGAACAATCTGTCTTAAGAAACCAAAGAGAGTAGATGTATTTTTACTTTTAAGAAAATAGTAAATATAACTTTCTTTTAAAGTACAATGAAGTATATTGATTCAGTAGAGTGCTATATCATACCAAATGTTTTTTTTCTTTATATATACACATTGATACACATTGACTGTTTTGTGTTCAAAGATGTGTCTATATGGATAGATGATTGATGCTTGGTTGCTTGTGGTGTAGTACAATGACTTTGTGAGAAGGGGTAGATTTTATAAGATTTTTTTCTTCAAACTACTCATTTTTATTCAGAACTTTTATTTGTGTTAACATGTGACATATTCATTTTAAACTGTAAATGAGTGACATAAAAATAAATAAATAAATAAATAAATAAATAAATAAATAAATAAATAAGTCTTCATCAGTCTGCTCTCAGATAGCGAAATATGTTAATTCAGTGTTGAATTATTATCAGAAAGGTTGATTTTTGGTTAAGGTTGACGACTGATGATTTATCAACCTTTAATCAATCATCAATCATTTTTAGTGGACACCTCGTTGTGTGGGCTGGCCCGTTGCAGCGGTACGTCAGAGTGGCCGTCATATTGGATGTGGCAGAACTGCTGGTCAACTGATAGAAGGAAATAGACTGAACTTTATAAAGCACTGTTCTACAAAGTGTTTTATGTTAATGCCTGTCATTCACACACACTAATACATTTGGAAAACAAACAGGCACCAAAGACAACATTTATAACTTTTAAAATGATTATTAAAAATGTTTACTCCTTAAATGTTTAGGTTAAAGGTAAGCACTAAACCATGCATTATTTTGAGCGTTTACAACAATTAATGTGTTTAACACTATTGCTGTGGTGATAAATATAGAAATATTCATATTGACCACTTAATCTGTGTCTAACCAGATTGTGAAATGTGATGTGCAGATTTATTGAATAAAGAGCACTAACATTCATATTTAACTGATTTTGATTAATCACATTGATGAAC